GTAGCGGCTGGGCTGTGTGAGCCTCACGAGAACAGTTTGAATTTCCCGCATTATCCAGAACTCTGCAGCCCGTGTCCTCTTCTGCCCCAGGCTCCGCGACTGTATCACCCCCATCCTCGCCCGGCTCCTCATCACCTAGGAGGATACAGTTCAAGTTCCTGGTCCTCACCTTCAAAGCCCTCCGCAGCCTTGCTCCCCACTATCTCTGTGACCTGCTAATCCCCTACAATTTGCCGCTTCCTCCACTCCGCGGTCTCAGGCCTGCCTCACTTGCCCCACCTTCCACACCCCACCCTTTGGAACTCCATCCCACAGTCCCTTGCTCACTCCCTCGCCTCCTTCAAGACCCATCTCAAGACCCTCCTCTTCGACCGTGCTTTCGGTCACCCTCCTAGCCATACCCTCCCCGCCCTCCACCCCTCCTGATCACAACCAGCAATTCGGGTGCGGATGCCTGACTGTCCAATGTGTTGCGACATCCTCCTGACTGGACAGGCGCTACGTAAATGTAAGTTGTTGTTCAGCGAGTCCGATCTTGTGTCAGCCTATCTCATATGTTGCCCGCAGTTCATGCGGGAAGCATATTGGAGGACGGGCTTTGTTACGGACAAATAGGAAAAGATCACGGTTTGTATGACAGTTTTCTGCCTGACAAACCTGCATCCCTGATAATATTCCTTGCATTTGATCACGTCTCTTAAATGCTTCACAAGATTTATACTGCAAAGTGTAATAACTGTGTATTTGAAGGCAAATGCAGCAGACAATTTGGGGACAATAGTGTCTCACAAACAGCAATGAAGTGAGTGACCATTCTTTTCTACTTGGGGTGAAACTCCTATCTCTTTTGAAATAGTGCCATTGGATCTTTAACATCCACCCAAACTGGCAGAAGGGTTTAACGTCTCACCCAACAATGCAGCACACCCCCAGCTTTGCATTGGAGTGTCAACTTAGAGTGTAAATTCAAAGTCCCGATGTGGGGATTGAACCCACAAGTTTCTGACACAGAGGCAAGAGCAATTCCCAACTGAGCAAAGTTGACATCTAATATTGTGCTGCGGGAGGGCTGAGCAGTACAGGGAGTACAGCAGCACTGGGGATAATTGGAGGTTCCGTACTTCAATGCGATGTTACACCAAGGTCCTGACACCTTGTTCAGGAGGGTGATAGCTGTCACATTCACCTATAAAATACACTACACAGTCACTACACTTTAGAGTATTTCCTGTGAAGAGCATTGAAGAGACATCCTCCCGATGTGCTATAGGAAATGTAAGAAATATTAATTATTATTAATAATGCGCACAACAAATAATTACTCCATAATGCTTGTTTTTGTAGGCAGACACGGTCCTGGCACACAGCTTGAGACCGGGAGCTCAGCAGACCTGGGGCTTTACTTTGCAGCACACTGTCAAACCCTATTCATCAAGTAATAAAAGCCAACACACCAATGCCCTAGACTCATCTCTCAACTATAATTAAAATACTTCTCTGTCTGTACACACAAAGCTTACATAGCAGCATCAGCATTGTATTGATCAGCAGATACCTATTCCACACACATGACTCTGTACAAAAAAAAATGCCAGTACAATATTCACCCGAAATAAAAATGTGTCAACACCGCAAGAAAATATGTCTCGGATATGAAATATAATTATATAAATCACACAAATATTTTCTCTTTACAGCAAGTAAGACAATACCAAGGAGAAAACCGAAGTACAGGCGAGAGCGAGCGAATGGCTTCTATTCAGGAGGCACTGATTCAGAGGAATGAGGATATATCACATACTGTACATTACGAGCACTGTCTCACAAGTGACATGATTTCAGTAGCAAAACTGCATCATTTCCATGGAGGTCACTTTGAGAACTGAACGTGTGAAGCCGGCAGAGAGGCAGAGAAATCTGAAATGATCTTTCACCCTTTTCCAAGCCAAGTGATCCTTTCAATAATAATAATAATAATCCTTACATTTAATACAGCGCCTTATCATGTCTTTGAGACTTCTCAAAGCCCTTCACAGAATATACTGTAAAGTGAATTGACTGTGTATCTTGTGGGTAAAAATTCCAAGATGGCCAACCACAGTCAATGGTGAGCAGAATTCACTGTGGTCGTAGCACTGCCAACTTTAAAAAAAAAAGCCCAGACATTTCTGAGCTGGATGGTGCAAAGATTGATTGTGCCGTGATAGAGGCTAAGGCCACGTTGTTATTGTAGTGAAAACTTTCTTAAGAGGCTATCGACAGCTGGGTTACAGTAGCGCCCAACTGCCAGGAAGAGCAAACTAGACAGATTCAGTTTTATACTTCAGCATAAAATACCCACACACTTGGCTGTTCGGCCTACAATCACTCATCGTAAAGAACGCAGGGTCTCATTTTAAAAAAAAATCTTCGGATAAATTGTTCCGATTATATTTCAAATGTTAGTCGTTCACGAACCAGACGTTTATCACAAGCAAACGTTTTAAAAGGTTAAAAAGGGAATTGCATAAACACACAGGCTGTTTGCAGCAGGCCAGAGACAGAGGAGCCAAATTTGCGACATTACGTAGTGTGCCTCTTGTGATAGTTATAATAATCATTGCATTTGATATAGCGCCCTATCACGTCACCGAGAATATCTTGTAAAGTGAATTGAGTGTACATTTTGTGGACAAAAAGCAGCAGCCAATCGCGGACAGTGTCCCACAAACAGTCGTGAATTGAGTGGCCAATTTTTTTTTAGTTATGAGATGTTGCAAATTGGCACCTCTGTCGTGGTTTTAAAAATCGTTTCACATCTTCGTAGATTCGTTAATATAATCTGTTATTTCTCTGCCTTCCCCAACTACCTACCAATTGTCTGTCGTTCCTAAAGTACTGACTCACTTTCGGGGATGGTCCCTTTCTACTACCCTGGTACCTCGGCTGAAGTGTCCACTCTTCACTTACGAGGCTTAATAGTGAGAGTTATCACAGTATTTAACTTTGTGGTTGCAGATGGGTTCTGATGTCTGTGACTACAACTGAGATCAGCAACTGATCTAGGTTTGAACCCGTGATCGTCCAGCCTAGACGGGGCTTTTATCCACCAAGCCATTGAGGGAATTAAAAAGACAACACACATGTTCTGATCAGACTGAGCCTGGTCAGCAATGGGATTGGGCTTTCTCATAGTCAGGAGTGAAGAGCAACATTGGGTTTGAGTCAGGCTGTCACTTGACACAATGCAATTTGAGGATGGGATTAAAATCTATTTTAGGATTTAGTCTGATGTCTGGATTGGGTTGGGGGGGACGGGACGGGGGGACACACGTGTCAAGGGATGCTCTGGGAGTTGGAGAACAAAGAGAATTTCTAACAATCATCATCTCTCATGAAGAATGAAGAGCAGAGCAGTGAAGGGACAGGCAGTTTGAGGAGCAGATCCACCGGATAGGATTGTAGGTGGACTCTGAAGGTAGGGAGGCAGGGTGCGAGGCAAGGGGAATCTGGGAGTTCCAGAGAAAGTGGTCACTGAAACCTTGGGAAGCAATGGGAGTGAGGGCCAACATGGAGGAGCAATGGGAGACAGAGCCAACATGGGGGAGCAATGGGAGTCAGAGCCAACATGGGGGAGCAATGGGAGTGAGGGCCAACATGGGGGAGCAATGGGAGTGAGGGTCAACATGGGGGGGCAATGGGAGTGAGGGTCAACACGGGGGGGCAATGGGAGTGAGGGACAAGCAGTAGATGTGAATCTGAGGCAGGAGAGTGGAGTAATTGAAGACTGCAGAGGCTGGGAGAGGCAAGTGCCAAAGGGGATTAGAAGATCAGGATGAGGATCTTATTTTGATTTGTTGGGGAACAGGAGAGAGTGGAGCACGGCGGAGATGGGAATGATTGTGTGAGTGGGGCTTGGGTAAGACTAGTCCCTCTGCCTTCTCAAATGCATTCCAAACCTATGGAACTGAGGAAGGTCAGTAGCGAGACACAGAGCAATACGTTATGGAACACCTGCCCCAGCTGAGAGACATTAGAGGCCACAGAGTTAAAAGCTTTTAAGAAACAAAAGGCACAAGTTGACATTCTGTACAGGTACAAATATCCATCCTTTCAATTTTTGGATTAAATAATATTTCAGTGTAATCTGACTAAGGAGGTCTCTATCTCTTCACATCACTGCTGAACCGCAACCAGTAATTCATTAATTAAACCGTTTGTTTAAAAATAATTTAAATATTCAGTTTTACTGTGAAACCAAGTGGAGAGAGAGCATCAATCCCTCCCCTCATCCCACCCCATGACCAATTACCAACAATTCTCTCTCATTTTAACCTTTGCTTCAGATTATCTTTGGGGAGGTGAGCCCTCGGAGGTCAAATCTGAGGCTGATCACCAAGGACACAGGTGCTGCTTTCATTAGTCCTTACAGCCACTGTTGGATAATAATAATAACTTGCATTTGATATGGCGCCTTCTCACGTCTTCTAGACGTCTCAAAGCACTTCACAGGATATACTGTAAAATGTAGTGACTGTATATTTTGTGGGTGAAACATGGCAGCCAATTGCGCACAGCAGTGTCCCACAGGCAGCCATGGATCGAGTGATCAAATTCTTAAATATTTTTTGAAGGAATTATTACCCCCGGAAGAGATCTACTGAGGGAACACTTGGTCCGAGTTTGGACAGCTTGCTTGAGCACATGGTCACGAGGCTCTGGTTGGGCTTGTCCTGGCGGAGAGGCCATCCGGTCATCTGATCTGCTCGGACCGTCGTGAAGACTGGCATCAGGACGGCACACAATGTCCTTTACGACAATTTGGGGCCGAGAGAGTTTCTGGTGGGAAGGGTTATCTCGGAGACAACCCTCGTTTCCCTGTGGAACATGTTTTGGTCTAATTCAGTTTAGTGGGGAGCAGGTGAGGTGAGATCTTTCCTAATGGATTTGTTTTCTCCACAGATTTGAGAACTGACCGAATAGTCTTCCTAATTGGCTCCGGGTGCCATCCAACATGTGAACCGTTCCCTTTGTCATGAGACCACACCAGGGTCCTGGGCTGAGCAGTATCTCCCTCCCTCCCTCGATGAGATACCACACAGCCCAGGACTCTAAAACACAGGATAACCAAAGTGCCCAGACGGGGTGGGGGGAAGGGGGGGGGGGTCTCACTGATCACCAAACATGACACTTCTTCAGAGGGTTCATGGGGCTGCCGGGAGGGCAGTTAAAGCTCCGGGCGAAGTCGGCGGAGTTTGCGACGGTGCCGATGACTCGGTACATGGACGGGCTGTGGGGGTCTGTGATCAGCCCCTCATGGGAGCCCTCGGGCGTTCTCACTGAGCACCAAACCTGGAGGAGGAGGAGGGGAGAAAAATGAGGATATGATCAACATATATAACAGAGAAGTTCCCATATCCAACATACTCACATTATACGATGATGCGCAATTCGCTGCCATGTTTCACCGACAAAACAGTCAATTCACTTTACAGTATATTCTGTGAAGCGCTTTGAGATGTTTGAAGACGAGATAATAATCTATATCAAATGTAAGTATTATTATTATTTCTAGTCCATTTCCATCTCCAACAACCTCACACAGCTGTTTTCTCCCACCCCCTCACCCCTCCACCCGCGCAAACAACGGCTCTCTATATCTGTCTAGGAATGTTTGTGTTCATGGTTCTCTCCCTCGGTCTCTCTTTCCTTTCCCACTTTCTGTCTCTCCTCTTCGAGCCTCCTTCCCCACACTCACATCCACAGCTCAAAGGTGAATGGCTCTATTCTGTTCACTACCTGGCTGCAAATTTGCTATTAATTTGGAGGGAAGCAGAGACAGAAAGACAGATAGAGACAGACACCCAGAATGCTTACAAATGCATAGTCACTATGCTTGAAAATAATTCATTATAATCCTTACATTTGATACAGCGCCTTATCATATCTTCGAGATGTCTCAAAGTGCTTCACAGAATATACTGTAAAGTGAATTGACTGTATATTTAGTGGGTAAAACACGGCAGCTAATTTCGCACAGCAGCGTCCCACAGTCACAAACAGTCACACCATTGAGTGACCAAATTATTACTATTTTTGTTTGAAGGGATTATTACCCTGGAAAAGCGATCCACCAATCAAAGAACAACCGGGTTCCTGCTTACTGTTAGGTAAACAGTGGTGTGGGGAGTAAAGAAACTTGCCCAAAATTTCACCCGGTCGGGAATCGAACCCAGGTCTCTCACTTGCGAGGCGAGGGCTCTAACAACTAAGCTTCAGGACTTCACAACTACCCTGAAGAGCTCAGCTACCCGTTCAGAGATGACGGACTCTATAAAGTGCGAGTTCTCGGTCTCTTCCTTCCTTACCTGGGCGAATCCGATGAAGAAGAGTTGTCTATTGGTCAGATTGACAGTCGGCAATGTGGGCTCCTCTCCATTCTTGCTCACCCAGCTCTCGTACGCCTGAAAACCAACACACTCTCCGTCATTCTCAGCGCTATAGTTATTTTACCTCTGGCCTCAATTTTTAAACCGGCTCCATTTTTAGGAACTTCCTAATTAAGAAATCTGGATAACCACGCCCTTTGGATCTCCATCTCACAGTCCCTTCTCCCGCTCCCTCCCTTAGCTCCTTCAAGCACATCTCAAGACCCTCCTCTTTGACCGATCCTTCGACCACTCTTCTACTCCTACCCTCCCCACCATACACCCTCCCCGATCCCAACCCTCACTCCTGTCCAAATCCCCTGACTGTCCAGCACCTTGGGATGTCCTCCTGATGTGAAAGGCCCGTACAAATGCAATTTGTTGTTGTTGTTGCCTAATGGTGAGGCGAGTGCACTAACCACAAGTCTACAGAACTCCATTAAATCTCTGACCTTTAATCTGACTCCTCAGTCTCTCCCATCTTAGAAGCTTTTGGTGTCTCTGATCCACCTGGTGATGCCAGCTTTGGAAGTGAGTTGGAGTCAGTGTGAGAAATGCAGGGGTTTCCTCGGAGGGAGGGAAGGGAGAGGACAGGAAGAGGCGAGGGAGGGGGCATTCAGGGAGAGGGGAGGGAGGGGGCGGGGAGAGGTGGGAAGGGAGACCCTTTTCCCAGGGAGCGATCCTCCATTTGATGAGATGAGGGGGTGAATGACGTACGTGGTAGGCGGCTTTGAGGCCCCCGTTGTCGGCGATGTTCTCCCCCAGTGTCTGCCGGCCATTCACAGGTTCGCTGTTGATGCTGTAGTTGCTGTACTGCTCGACCATGCACTCCGCCTGCCGCTTGAACGCTTCAACCGACGAGTTCTTCCACCAGGACCTCAGGTTCCCGTCCTTGTCGTACTCTCTCCCTGTAAGAAAGCCAGCGTTGGGTGAGGTGCGTCTCTCTAGAACAATAATAAGCATCCTCACATTTGAGCAGAGCTTTGAGATTGAGACGTCCTCCCGGTGTGAAAGGCGCCGCATGAATCTAAACTGTATTGTACTGAGCACCTTATCACATCGTCGAAATGTCTCTCAAAACACTTTGCGGGATTTTACTGAGAAGTTACTGTATTTTGTGGGCGAACGCAACAGCCAATTTGCCCGCTTTAATGTCCCACAAGCAGCCATGAAGTGAGTGACCAATTTTATCTGGGGAAATTGTTGACCAGGACATCGGGAGAGAGACACCAACTTCTCTTTTCAATTGTGGGATTGAACAGGCAGACGGGACCTCGGTTTAACATCTCACTTGAAAGCCGGGCACTGGAACGTCAGGACACTTATTCCTTCTCTCCAACCTCTGTGGCTCATTAAATCTCTGATCTGCAATCTGACTGCTCAGTCTATCGGATTTTATATTCTTTTTCGAGATGAGATCCCAATGTGTTAACTGTGTGAATCAGATACTCAAATATTCAAAGCTGTTTGCCTCCCCTCCCCCCTTCATCACCACCCCACATCAGCTTCCCCCACCCCACAGCACCTGATGTGGGGGGTCGGAGGGGCTAGTGTGGGGAGGGGCTGGAGGGGAGGTGATGTGGGGGGGAGGGGCTGTGTGGGGAGGGGCTGAAGGGGAGCTGATATAGGGGCGCGGTGAGCTGATGTTGGGGGGGTCGAACTGATGTGGGGGGGCTGCGGGAGGTGGAGATTTGGAGGGGTGGGGCTGTAGGGGGACAGGCTGTGGAGGGGTGGGGCTGGAATCTTTTGTTCTCCTCTCCTCATGCCACAATCCCAGACCCTGACCCCCTCCCGCCACCCATCGCTCACTACGCCCTGGGGGCACTGGAGATGCTGCCATCCCATCCTCAGCTCCCCAGGCCGCCTCCTGGCTGTTTGTGGGAGCTGATTGTGTGGGGAGACGCCGTGGGGAGGGGCTATTGAGAGCTTACTGTGAGCTATGGTAGTCCTCGACAGTATACTGTCACTGCATTTGATGATATTTACTATAAAGTTACTTTTTTTTAGTAACTGATTTATCCAGTTACCCCATTATTTTGGTATGATATTGATCTTTTGATACATCTCAACATCTGGTTTGCTTTCCTCACTGCCACAGAGCATTGCTGTGAAAGCTTCAACGTATTGTCTATCAGGACCCTCAGGTCCTTTTCATTTTCCATACATATTATTTTCCTTCGTACAAATATTAGTCTCTTCCTGGATATTTTGTCCCCATGTGAAGTACTTTACATTTCTCTACATTGAATTTCATCTGCCACCGATCTGCCCAATTCCCAAGGATGTTCAAATCCTCCTGTAATCCATGTTGTTCAGCTTCGCAATCTACCATCTTCATCAGCTCGGTGTCATCTGCAAACTTAACCACTGTGCTTTTGACCCCTACAATCATAGAATTATACAGCACAGAAGGAGGCCATTCGGCCCCATCGTCTGTGCTGGCTCTTTGAAAGGAGCTATCTAATTCAATCCCTCTCCCCATAGCCCTGCAAACTTGTTCTCCCTAAATAGTTATCTACTCTCTTAAAAGTTATTATCGAATCGGCTTCCACAACCCTTTCAGGCAATACATTCCAGATCCCAACGACTCGCTGTGTGAAAACATTTCTCATCACCTCCCCTCTGTTTTTTAACAACTATTTTAAATCGGTGTCCTCGGGTTACCGACCCACCCACCCGATAGTTTCTCCTTGTTTACCCTATCGAATCCCCTCATAATTTTGAAAGCGTCTATTAAATCTCCCCTTAACCTTCTCTGCTCTAAGGAGAATAATCCGAGCTTCTCTCGCCTCTCCTCATAACTGAAATTTAAGCGCTCTGAGACGCCGTCCGGCGTGGAGGGCGCTATATAAATCCAAGTTGTTGTTGTTGAAGTCCCTCATTCCTGGTACCATCCTGGCAAATCTCCTTTGCACCCTTTCCAATGCTTTGACATCCTTCCTTAAGTGTGGGGCCCAGAACTGAACACAGTACTAGTTCCAGATTGTTTATAAAAATATCAAACAAAAGAGGACCCAACATAAACCCTTGTGGGACTCCACTGTTGAAGGATTTTGTAATTAATGTGGTCAATAATACGTTGCAAAGAAAGCGCAGCATGAACTGGTCAAGTGTTTCACTGGTGTCACCAGGATGAGGGGGTGACCAGAGCAGCAGTAGGCACTCGGGGGCCACAGGTGAAAGGTGTGTGGTGTGAAGGAGAGAGACAGCTGCCATTGTTATACAGGGACAGAGAGAGACAGAAACTCCTCCTACGCTGTCTGCTTAAGAGATTCAGAGAGACCGAGGCTGAGGCTGAGAAGAAAGAAAGGAGCGAGGCGAAGGGAGTGAGGAAGGCAGTTCCAGAGCCTCGGGGCATAGTGGCTAAAGGCACGGCCGCCGAGGGTGGAGCGGAGGACTTGGGGGACGAGGAGGAGGCCAGACTCAGAGGAACGAAGGCAATGGGTACTGTTTTGAGGAGAGAGGAGGTCAGAGAGGTCGGGGTGTGCAGAGGAGTGGAGGGATTTGAAGACACGGGTGAGGATCTTGAAGTCGATCCTCTCTGGGACAGGCAACCAGTGCAGTCTGGCCAGGACTGGGGGGAATCGGGGAGCGGAGTTTGGTGCGGGTGAGAATGCGGGCGGCAGAGTTTTGAATAATCTGGATTTTGTGGATGGTAGTGGATGGGAGGCCGGCGAGGAGGGCGTTAGAGTAGTCCAGCTGAGACTACTTCCACATACTTCCTCTGACTCCTGCTTTCTTTACTTTCAAGAGGAACTGTATCAAAGGCCTTATTGAAATCCAGATAATAATAATAATCCTTGCATTTGACATAGCGTTTTCACGTCTTTGAGACATCGCAAAGCGATTCACAGAATATACTGTAAAGTGAATTGACTGGATATTTTTGGGCAAAACATAGATATACAACATCCACAGCCTTATCAAACTCTCTTGTCACACCATCAAAGAAAACCAGTAACTTAGATTGGCAAGACCTTCACTTCATGAACATAGAAAGGGGAGGCGGCCATTCAGCCCCTCGAGCCTATTCCGCCATTCTATAAAATCATAGCTGATCTGCAGGATTTGGTTAACCCGGAACATTGACTCTTTAACCTGTGCACCCGGTAAACAACTTATCATTCTATTTTCTGAGTCTGGTTTGAACAGAATGTAATCTGTGAACCGAATAGTCGAATCGCCTAATATCACAACTTGTCTGCTACTCTTTCTCTTCTTCCCTCTTCTCACTACCTTGCCTAACTCCGCCATCGCTTGGGTTTCCATATCATCTCTCTCCAGAGGAGAAAAACTGTTGGAGAGCACCAGGGATGCCCGCTCCTGCTCTGTTAGCCGACCACTACTTCTGGCCCCTTTTCTAACAGAGACCCAATCCTCTCCTCTAGGTACTGGGGACTTCTCTCCGACTCTGCCCCCTAGCACGGTCTCCTCTAATACATAATTTATCAAATCGTCTCCCTCCCTAATACATTGGTGTGTGGTAGTTGCTCACTACAACAACAACAACAAAATTACACATGTAAAGCGCCTTTCATGTCGGGAGGACATCCCAAAGTGCTGAACAGTCAGTGATTCGGACCCAAGCTAGTGGTTGGGGTCAGGGAGGGTAGAGGGCAGGGGGGGAAGCAGGGTGATCCAAAGCACGGTCGAAGAGAAGGGTCTTGACACGGGTTTTGAAGGAGACAAGGGAGGAGGCGAGGAGGGACTGCGGGATGGAGTTCCAGAGGGTGGAGGCAGAGTGGCACAAGGCCCACCTGCCAATAGTGAGGCAGGCGAGGCGGGGACGTGAAGCAGGCCAGAGTCCGCTGGGCGGAGGGAGTGGGCAAGTTATTATATTGTTATATACAGTCTGTAAGAAAAAAAACTTTGGCACAAGTTAGGCTTTCTTGCCTGCATCTCATTCCCCCTCTGCACCGAATTCCCACTCTCTCCAAATTCCTGTTGTGGAGGCCTCACTCTGTTCCCAGCTTGCTCTAGTGGGCCCTCTGGTCGAGTGAGGCTCTCGCTTTTAACTGGATTTAACTGGTCAACCTAACGATTTTCACTCGGTCTGTGACCTACTTCCTGTTGACTAGAAAAACAAGGAGGTAATTCATTTGTAAAAGCGAAAAACTTACCTTGATCGTCAAAGGCGTGAGTCAGCTCATGACCCATCACAACACCGATACCACCGAAGTTTAAGGCTCTGTGTAATAATAATAATAATAATAATCCTTGCATTTGATATAGCGCCTGACCTCGTCTTCGAGAGGCTGAAGGCTCGCCTGCCGAGGGGGGTGGGACAGAGGGAATGAGCAACCGGCAATGAAGCAGAATCAAAAACTTTGCGTGCACAAAGCCCTTCACATCCACGTGAACAGGAACATTCAGGAACACTCCTAGCATTAGCTGTTGAGGAATAAGATTACCACACTAATAATACTTGCATTTCAAATAGCACCTTATCAATTCTTTGAGATGTCTTAAAGCGCTTCACAGAATATTCTATAAAGTGGATTGACCGTATATTATGTGGGCAAAAGGTGGCAGCGAATTGCACAAAGCAGTCCCACAAACAGATGTGGATTGAGTGAAGTTGGATGGAGAAAAGAAATCTTTCACCATTAGTGTCTCATCGCATCCAAAAGTCTCAAAGCATTTCACAGGTGAATTTCCCCATCCCAGGGTGCTAAGGGTGCCCCTAGCTCCAGATATAGCCGCTCCCCTTGCCCCAGATGTAGACCTTCCCCTAGCTCCAGACATAGCCCTGTCTCCAGTTCTGATCAGAATCCCTCACCTGGCTGATGCTACCGTCACAAGCTCCAACTCATCAAAAGCTCAGCACTAGACACCTCATGACTATTACCCCCCCATCCTTGCCAGGCTCCGCTGGCTCCCAGTAACCCAAAGGATCAACTTACAAATCTGTGCCTTGGTTCTTCAAATTCCTTCATGCTTTTGCCCCTCCCTATCTCCGCATTCGCCTCCAGCTCCTTTCCCTTGTCGACACCTTCCACTCTTCAATCTACCACTTGTTCCTCACATCTTCTGTCCCACCATCAGCAGCCAAACCTTCAGCTACCATGCCTCCGCTCTCTGAAACTCTCTTTCTGCCCTCTAAAAATAAATGTCCGTGATGTGCACATGGGTCGACTCCCTTAACTTCCCCCTTCTCTCCTCGCTCAGTGATCCCAATCCATTTTATGAAATGCTACAAATGTAATTTTGTTGTTGTCCCAAAGCAAAAGGCAAGTCTCATGGCGCAGGCTTACTGTGGGTGGTCTCGACCGTAGAATGGAGTTTGCAGAATGCCAGCGGGGAAGACTATCTCGTTCTTGGTCGGTGAGTAGTAGGCATTGACTGACGGAGGGGTCATACTCCACCTGTGGGAAGCAGAGACTCTGTTACAGCTGAGCTACAGAGACACCACTGGGTGGACCTGCACTTCTCTGATCGACCACCAGAAGGCGATGCTAACTTACAGAATTAAACCCTGTGACAACACCAACTCCACATCATCTACAATAATAATAAACATGATACTTCAACTGACGTAGCACTTATGATATTGAAATATGTTAAAGCACTTCACAGAGACTTAAGGTCAAGACTGTTAGACTGTTTTTGATTATTTTTCTTGACAAACGAGGCAACCAATTTGCACACAGCAAAGTCCCACACAGCCATGAAGTGAATGACAACAAGCACAAATTACATTTATACAGAGCCATTCACATCAGGAGGACATCCCAAGGTGCTGGACAGTCAGAGATCCACACCCGAGAAAGTTAGCTCTCATCCAGAACTTGATGTCTGACAGGCATTCTGTGAGGATAGCACGTATGTGGATGATACCCAACTCTATCTCTCCACCTCCACCCTTGACTCCAGAACCACTGCTATCCTCACAGACTGCCTGTTGACATCAAGTCCTGGATGAGAATAAACTTATTCCAGTTGAATGTCAACAAGACTGAGACCCTCCTGCTCGGCCACCGTCAGTGCCTCCATACCTCAGGTGCTGATAGCATCACCCTATATGGATGCACTCTACATCCTACGGAGCCAATACGGAACTTCAGCCTCCTGTTCAACCTCAAATGTCACGTTACCATGATCCGCTCCACCTTTACCCACCTCCGCAACATTGCCTCTTCCTTCAGGCCTCCGAAACCCTCATCCACACATTCATCGCATCCACGCTCGATTACGCAAACTCCCTGCTTGTTGGCCTCCCCGAGTCCTCCCTCCAAAGGCTACAGATCATCCAGAACTCTGCAGCCCATGTTCTCTCCCTATCACCCCTGTCCTCGCCCGACTCCACTGGCTTCCCATCACACAGTTCAAGATCCTGGTCCTCACCTTCAAAGCCCTCTATGGCCTTGCTTTTCCCTACGTCTGTGACATTTTAACACCCTGCCAAGCTATCCATTCCCTCTGCTCAGCAGGTTCCGGCCTGCTTCAGGTCCTGCCTTGTTGCCCACCATTGGCAGGCGGACCTTCAGCCACTCTGCCCCCACCTTCTGGAACTCCATCCACAGTCCCTCCTCCTCGCCACCTCCCTTGGCTCCTTCAAGACTCGACTCAAGACCGTGCCTTTGATCCCCTCCTAGCCCTACCCTCCCTACCCTCCACTCCTCCTGATCCCAACCACCAGCATGAGTTCGCATCCCTGACTGTTCAGCGCCTTGGGACATCCTCCTCGTGTGAAAGGCACTATACAACTGTAATTTGTCGTTGTCCTGGAGCCATGGGTGGAGGCAGAGAGGAAGTTGACCCCATGTTTCCGGATGATCTCATCAAGAGGAAGCATGTAGATGTTGAAAAGGAGGGGACCAAGGACAGAGCCCTGAGGGACACACATGTGATGGTGCAGGGGCTGGAGGAGAAGCCATTAGTGGAGACAAAGTGGAGATGGTGGGAGAGGTAGGATTTGAACCAGGCAAGGGCACGTCCGTGAAGGTTGAGCTGAGAGGCGGTGGAGGAGCATAGAATGATCGACAGTATTTAAGGCAGCAGAGAGGTTGAAGAGAACACGACGGCAGAGTGAGCCCTGACACAATGTTGTTAGTGATTTTGACCAGAGCTGTTTCCGTGCTGTGGGCAAATAACCAACTAGTCTAGCAGTCTGACTTCCCTTACAAGTCAAAGCCCTAACAGGTAGGGTAGTCCTCGCTGGACAAGGAGCGGAAAAGCTGGCTAGACAGTGCTCTCAGTGGCAAGCTATGTAGTTTTAACTGGCTGCATTCCAGCAGTTACCTCAACAGACACTTGGGATCAAGCCTTGGCTCACATTAACTTAGAAACACTGGGAAATTTCCATGGCATGCATATTTGGTACTCTCAGTCTGGTTTGGATACTCTTAAGCATGGTGATGTGTTCTGTATGTGTTAAGACGTATAAGTTGTGAATAAGAGCTGAGTACTTTTGGCCTTCTGTTTTGTGGGAACAGAAGTAATAATAATAATAATAATAATCCTTGCATTTCATATTGCATTTTCGAGACTTCTCAAAGCTCTTCACAGTACACTGTAAAGTGAATTGACTGTATATTTTGTGGACAAAACTTTGCAACTAATTGTGCACAGCAGCGTCCCACAAACAGTCATGGATTGAGTGACAAAATAATTTATATATTTTTTAAGGGATTATTACCCCAGGAAAAGCGATCCACCAATCGACTAACAACTGGGTTCCTACTTACTGCTGGTAAACAGAGTTGTGTGGAGTAAGGAAACTTACCCAATGTTTCGCCCGGCCCTGCCCGGGAATCAAACCCAGGTCATCCTGCTTGCGAGGTGAGTGCTCTAACTATTAAGCTACAGAATTCCACATGAAGGATGTGGGTGCAAATGGAGACTGAAGAGAGATCCAGGGCACAGGATGTCACTGGGGGGATGAATCCTGTGGACAGACAGGCCCTGGTTACTCACTGGTCTCTGTTGGGAGTCTTCCTCAGTTGGTCAGCAATCACTCGCGCAGAGAAGTTGTAGAACTCGAGTACGTTCTGGAAGTAGAGGTCTGGAACCACCTGGTACTGTAGGAACATACAGTCATCAGTGTAAAGACCAGAACCTGCAGCGAATAACCCAGACCCGGATATGGCCTCATACGATCGTCCAATCCACAGACACACCAGACACGGTAATTAGCTGTCAGACCTTGTCTGCATGACAAGTGTGTTGTAGTGTGTTAGTGCACACACGCATGTGGGCTCGTAAGAATGTGCGTGTTTGTATAGGCGTGTATATTTGTATTTGTATATATTACTGTGTGTGCATGTGTATGTATGAGTGTGTTAGGGTGCATGCATGTATATTAGTGTACATGGGCATAAGTGTGTATGTGTTTTAGTGTGTGTACGCGTATGTTGTGCGTGTATTTGTGTGGATACACTGAGAGCTGGTGCAGTGATGGTGATGTTGACGGACTGTGGCACCAATCACTGGGCCTGAGGAACCTTACAGCAACTACCAGACAGAAATACCATGTTACAACCCGTTACCAAGCGTTGCATCCATGACACACGGTGTCACACACAGGGTTGAGTGTAAACTCGGTGCCGTTCACAGTAACACAGCCTGGGATCAGACTCGTACTTACATCACGAAAGCTCTTGTCCAGTTCCTCAGGATCCATGATGAATTTTGGATAACCAATCATGTCGTAGATGGCATCCGCCTGTGCAAGGACAGCAGAAGGGAGGTCACAAGTGGGGAGGGGAGTGGGGGGGTTGGGGTGCTACATTAAGTGAATATTTAGGTGTCAGCCTGGCTCAGTTGCTCGCTCTCTCTCACCTCTGAGTTAAAAGATTGTGAGTTGAAAGCCCCACATTTGGACTTGAGCTGAGCTCTATCCTGACAGTCCAGGGCAGTGTCAGAGGTGCTGTCCTTTGGGTGAGACGTTAAACCCGTCTGACTGTTCAGGTGAATGTTAAAGATCCTGCAGCACTGCTCAAAAAGAGAAGGGAGATTCTCTCTCCTCGTGTCCTGGCCAACAATCCCCCGAGATAAAACTGCTCACTTACTCCATGGCTGTTTGTGGGACATTGTCCAAATTGGCTGCTGTTTCCACCTACAAAATACAGTCACTGCACTTTACAGACCCCTTTGTAAAGGTGGATCAAGTGCAAGAATTATTGCGATGATAATTTGGAAGTCTCTGCGTTTCACTGTTACCTTTTCCTTAGCTGCTTTTTTAGTCTCTTCATCCATCCACTTGGTGTGTTTCAGATTCGCCTCGAAGGAGGCCTTGATCTCGGAGATCATCGCGTCAGCCTGTGGGGTAACAGCGACACGTGATGGTGACACTTAAACACGGATTTATTACAACCTTGTCTCATTATAGACATCAAACAGCAGACGTGTGTGTGTGTCATTGTAAATAACATCCCGCTAGAATCCCCGCTGATCCCACAAAGGAAATTACAGTTGCTTTTAATCACAAATTTCATAGACCTTAATCTGCCTTCCACTTTCCTGGCGGTCGCTTACACATATGTCCCAAACTCCCTGAGTCTATATCCCATAATGTGATTTCCTAAAAGAAAACTATCTAATCTGTGTTTGAAAGAATCAACATTTCCTGCTTCAACCGTCTCCCTCGGGAGCCTGTTCCACAGGTTCACTATTCGCTCACTGACGTAGTGTTTGCATAGATTCATTCTGAATTTCCCCCTTCAATCGCAGGCCGTGGCCTCTGGTTTTACTATTCTGGACAAGTTGAAACAGCCGGTCATGATCTATACTGTTTTGCCCCTTTAGAAACTCAAAGACAGCAATCATGTCGCCTCTCAATCTTCTCTTTTTCAGCGTGAATATGCCCGATTTACTTAGAGGCTCCTCATAGTCCAGTCCTTCTATTCCCTCAATCATTTTGGTTGCTCTCCTCTGTATCTTCTCGATTTCTTCAATATCCTTTTTGTACTGCAGTGACCAGAACTGTACACAGTCTCTGTGTATGGTCTCACCAATGATATATACAGTGGCAGGGTTATCCCACTCTTTTGGCTGCTATTGATCTTTTGATATATCCCAACATCTGGTTTGCTTTACTCACTGACAGAGAGCATTGTTGAGAGAGCTTCAATTTATTGTCAATCAGGATCCTCAGGTCCTTTTCATTTCATACATATTATTTTCCTTCCGTTCATATAATAGTCCCTTCTAGGATATGTTGTCCCCTTGTGAAGTACTTTACATTTTTCCACATTGCCACTGATCTGCCCAATTCCCAAGCATGTTCAAATCCTCCTGTAATCTATCTTCTTCACCTTGAAAAGGATTAGTTGTTCATCGTATAATTAAGCATAAGTGAAATTCCCAGAGGTTTACACAGGGAGCAAAATACATGTGGTGTAAAATAGCATTCACTGTCAGCAAACCCTACAAACCAATAGACCAATTATCATTGAGTTTCATTAATGTTTCATTAATCAATAGGGGAACAACAACAACAACAAATGACATTTGTAAAGTGCCTTTCACATCAAGAGAACATCCCAGGGCGTTGGACAGTCAGGGTTTTGGATCCGAACTGAGGGTTGGGATCAGGAGGGGTGGAGGGCAGAGAAAGTGGGAGTAGGAGGGTGGCCAAAGGCGCGGTCAAAGAGGAGGATCTTGAAACGGGCATTGAAGGAGGCAAGGGAGAGCGCGAGGCGAAGGGAATGTGGAATGGAATTCCAAATGGTGGGGGAAGAGAGGCTGAAGGCCCGACTGCCGATGGGCAAAGTGCAGACGATGGCTGGATAGATGTTGGCTGAGCTTTCCCAGGGCTGGAAAGAAGCCACCAATCACCGGCCGAGACTCACAATCTTTTTGCTGTCCTCGGCGTAGGTGGCTCTGACGAACAAGGCGCCGAGGGAGAAGCCCAGCATGATATCGGTGTCGGTCACGCACGTCTTCCACCGGTTACTGCAGGTCTGCGGGGAGAGAACATCACACGTTCTAGTCTCAGGCTTTAGAAGGGCTCATAATAATAATACTAATAATAAAAATAATGATAATCCTTGCATTTAATATTGTGCCTCATCATGTCTTTGGCAGGACTTGTAGAAGCAGACGTGTTACTGCAGGCCAAGATTCTTCTCACTCAGCTCATGTTATTCCAGCAAGTTTAAGCTCTTATAGAGAAGATGGTATTCAGCTAACATCTATACAGCAGGAAGCTTGACAATGGTAGTTTTACAACAGTAGTTGTAGAATAATAATCCTTGCATTTGATATAGCGCCTTATCACGTCTTTGAGACGTCTCAAAGTGCTTCACAGAATAAACTGTAAAGTGAATTGATTGTTTATTTTGTGGGTGAAATGCCGCAGCCAGTTGCGCACAGCAGTGTTCCACAAACAGTCGTGGATTGAGTGACCACATTATCGCTTTTACTCCCGGGAAAAGCAATCTGCCGATCGACTAACAACTGGGTTCCTACTTACTGCTAGGTAAACAGAAGCGTGTGGAGTAAGGAAACCTGCCCAATGTTTCACCCTGCCTGAAAATTGAACCCAGGTCCCTCGCTTGTGAGATGAGTGCTCTAACCACTGAGCTATAGGACTCCACATAAAGGAACATCTTGAAGTACTTACAAAAGAAGATTAATTACAAACTGAATGTTATAGAGACAAACACGGCAGAGAATTTGTGCCCAGAAACAACAGTTGCAGACATAATGTTCCAGCCAATTAATTCACTGTACCCTACACCATACGGGACACAATACTGGCTGGCGTCAGTTTGGATCAGCTATCCATGGCCAGAGAAGAGAGGAGAGGGAGGTAAGCAGGGTCTCTGGGGTGAGGTGGGGTGGGAGTGGGGGGTGGTCAGCCAATTCTAAATTGACAATAACAATAGGATGTCAGAATCCTTTGTGGCTCTTTGGTCAGTCCAATACTTCAGACAGGCAAGTCTGCAGTCTTCCAAAGCATTGCAGATAACAGACCAAGCAATCTGGCTTGTTAGCATGAGTTGGAAGACAGACCATCACTCGGGACAGGATTCAGTCTCATTCAACTCCACATAAAGCTGCCAAAGCTCTAACCCATCGGGAGGTCCAAGCTGGACAAGCAATGGGAACATTGAGTTTGTGAACAATGAAGGGGGCAGGAAAGGTTCAGAGCTGCAAGCACTGTGTGTAGGAAAGAAGCATTGAGGCTGACTTTACTCTGCAAACAAACAAACTAACCCAAAAAGGGACAATGTGTTGGCTTGATTACCCAGAGCTTCCCCCACACCCCCCAACACACACACCAGCATTGAGTGAGAGAAGGGAAGGGTGGGCTTTCTTGTTGACAGAGGCTTGTAATGACACTCAATGATAACCAGCAATGATGGCAGCTCAGCTCGGGCTCACCTTTGTGGTCCCCAACATGACTGTGACAAACTTCTCTTCTGCATCTCGGAATCGCTTATCCAGATTGTAAGATGTTTTCCTCACTACTTTCCAGATCATGTAGTTTTTGAGGACACTGTGGGGGAGGGGGGGGAAGAGAAGCAACATTCACTAAAACAATCTGAGAGCAACAATACCAGAAATCCCAACAGGGAAAGACAGGCCAAGGTTTGCTTTCTGGTTTGCACTGGACCGTGCTGTGAATTAGCAAGAATTGCTCCCACTTGATAGTACCTCTAAACAGTTCAAAGAGCCTTCCAACGTGTATGTGGAGTGCAGTGACTGTGCATTTGGGCATATTAAAAAAAAACAATATTTAGCTACAAAGTCAAATTCCATCTGGGTCCAGATTTAAAACTGGTCATTTAGCGAGACATTCATCCACAAAATATACAGTCATTTCACTTTACAATATATCCTGTGTAGCGCTTTGAGATATCAAGAGCTATATCAAATTGATATATATCAAAAGTGTTATTATTATTATTATTCACTTCAGGGCTGCTTGTAGAACATCGTTGTGTGCAAATTAGCTGCCATGTTCACTTACAAAATACAGTCACTCCATTTTACAGTAAAACTAGTGAAATGCTTTGAGATGTCCTCCCAATGCGAAAGCCAATGCATCAAATGCAAGGATTATTATTATTACTCTATTTATGTAGCATTTTAGAGCATCCAAAATTTGGCAAATTCTCAAAAAATTAACACTGATTTTGAAACAATCCTTGCATTTGAAATAATACAGGGATTACATTTGTATTGCGCCTTTCACGTCGGGACGACATCCCAAGGCACTGATAAGAACCACCTCTTCAAAGCCCCTCACAAGAGTTAGTGTAATGTGTAGTGATGGTGTGTTTTGTAGGTGAATGCAGCAGTCAATTTGCGCACAGCAATGTCTCACAAACTGCCGTGAACAATTTTATTTTGGGGATTGTTGGCCAGACACCAGGAGAGAGAAGCTCCCTTCAATTTTCAATTAGTGAGATCCTGAATGTCTACCTGAACAGGCAGACAGGAGCTCGGTTTAACATCTCACCTGAAAGCCAGGCACTGGAGCATCAGACTCCCTTCTCTTTTGAATCGTGCCATGGGATCCTTAGCAGCCAAATTTTTTATTTTTTTTTATTTGAAAAAAAGAAGGGAGTTTCTCTCTCCCGGTGTCCTGACCAACAATTCCCCAAATAACACTGATCATTCACTCCATGGCTGTTTGTGGGACGCTGCTGTGTTTCACCCACGAAAAAAACAGTCGATCCACTTTACAGTCTATGCCTGAAAGGGTTGTAGAAGCCGATTCGATAACAACTTTTAAGAGAGAAGTAGATAATTATTTGGGGAGGACAAGTTTGCAGGGCTGTGGGGAGAGTGGGGGTTGATTTGGATAGCTCTTTTCAAAAAGCTGACACAGACTCGATGGGTCGAATGGCCTCCTTTTGCGCTGTATAACTGTATAATTCTATGATTCTATATCCTGTGAAGTGCTTTGAGATGTCTCGATGACATGATATGGTGCTATATTTTGTACGCAATGATTATTGTTGTAAACACGAGCAAGGGTTTGGGTTCTGACCTTTTCTGAGTTGAGTTAATGAGCTGGGAGACCTTCTGCAAATACTCCTTTGCATAAACAACAACTGGCTCAGAGTCGTTGAGTTCCACAGGATAGAAGATGGAGGAGAGGAGCGGTAACCAGTCTATAACAGGAGCCAGTGTCTGTAAACAAACAACAACAACAAATTACATTTGTAAAGCATCTTTCACGTCATGAGGACGTCCCAAGACGCTGGAGAATCAGGAATTTGGACCCGAGCTGGGGGTTGGGATCAGGAGAGGTGGAGGGGAGGAGGGCAGTGGTAGCTGTAATATCACTTGATCCAACTCAAGGGTGTGTTAGTTGCTTCTTTATTCATCAATCCAAACTCTCAATCATTATTGTTTGGATTATTGAGATGGAGAATCCAGTTTAATAATCCACCTCAATAATCTCCTCTAAATCACACAGTGTGTCCCAATCCCAGTGCCTTCTGTACTTCCTGCCTTCTTCTCATTGACCCTTTTGTTAATTGTCAATTTACTCTTGAAGTAGTATCCAACAGCAGAGGGCGACCGAACGCACAGTTGAAGAGGAGGGTCTTGAGATGGACCTTGAAGGAGGCCAAGGAGGGAGTGAGGTAAAGCGACTGGGATGGAGTTCCAAAGAGTGGGGGCAAAGAGGCTGAAGGCCAGACTGCTGGCGTGTGGTGGGCAGGGAATGTAGAGCAGCCCTGAGCCTGGTGATCAGAAAGAGCAGATAGGTTGATATGGCAATAGTGTTGACATCCAAATAGAGGCATTACTGGACAAGAACCAGCAGAAAGTTATTCAGTGATTGGGGGTGGGGGGGTGGGGAGGAAGTCGTGTGCGATTCCAGCTGAGCGTGTGAGCAGTGAGGGATCCCTCGAGTTGGCTACTTCCTGGTGGGATTCCCTGAGAGTAGCTATCGTGGCTGAGATTCTCTCCCTCTAGAGCAGAGAAGGCTGGGAGGAGATTTAGTAGAATTGTTAAAAATTCTGAGGGGTTTGGATAATAATAATAATAATGATGATAATAATAATAATCGTTGCATTTAATAGAGTAAACAGGAAGGAACTGTTTCCTCTGGTGGGTGAGTCGCTAACCAGATGACACAGATTTAAGGTAATTGGCAAAAGAATCAGAGGGGAGATGAGGAGATTTTTTTTTACCCGGAGAGTTGTTACGGTCTGGAATGCACTGCCTGAAAAGGGTGGAAACAGATTCAATAACAACTTTCAAAAGGGAATTAGAAAAGTACTTGAAAAGGGAAAATTTGCAGGGATATGGGGAAAGAGCAGGGGAGTGGGACTAGTTGGCAGTTCTTTGAAAGAGCTGGCACAGGCATGATGGGCCGAATGGCCTCCTTCCGTGCTGTAAGATTCTATGAGGAGCTGAGTTGCTGTAAGCAGGAGCTTTGCCACAGAGCCCTCAGTGCTGGGGAGCAGCAGGAAGCTGGTACCTGCAGTTCCTGCACGGACATCTTTTTATAGATCAGTTCCTCGTCCCGGCGTTCCTCCTGTGGGACCGTGATGTTGGCCAGAGACACTTCGAAGTCCAGCACCTGCTGCATCAGTGACTGGGGGTCCTTCACCTCCAGCAACAGCCCCAGCTCCACCATGTAATCCAGATACGCCGTCAAAATCTACAGCAACACAGCACATCCTCATCAATACAGCATCAACACCAAGTGCATTAACAACAACAACCATAAGGCTTGAATTTGGTATAGTGTCTCATCACGTCTTATAGCGCCATTGAGATGTCTCAAAGTGCTACACAGGATATATTGTGTATCTTGTCGACGATTGAATGACTACGTTTTTTTAGGGGATTATTATTACCCCCGGAAAATGACCCGCCAATTGACTAACTCCCGGGTTCACAGGTAAACAGAGATGGGTGGAGTAAGGAAACTTGCCCAAGGTTTCACCCTGCCCGGGAATCAAACCCGTTTCCTCTCGCCTGCAATCCTATAGGACTCCTCAAGAATAATTACATTTTATATATGCATCGGTTGGCTACTGAGGCAGGGCGGATGGTTGCTTAAAAGGGAAGTTTCCCGAAATAAACACAGGAGCAAATTTTATTCCCAATGTGCGTCTGGTTTCCGGCAGGAGTTGGGGGTTTTGTTCGGAGTTGCTCTTTACCCATTTATGTAGAGAAAGGTATAATACCTTATACCTGCTGCGACTGTGCTCGTAACAGCCAGGTGCAGTGCCCACCTAAACAGCTTGTGATGTGAAGACCCACCCAATGCTCTGCACCCACCCACCTTCCCATGTGTCGTCTGGTTCAGGTAAAAGTCCCTCGACGGCATCCCCAGGCCTGACTGGTCCACCTGGAAGAGAAACAGGTACCGACCGGAGCTCAGTGGAAAATCAATTGTTCAACTCCTTCATGTAATAATAATAATAATAATAAATGCATTTGACACAGCACCTTATACTTTATATACCTTCATATACTTCATATACTTTAAAGTGCTGTGTATTTTGTGGGCGAAACGCGCACAGCAGTTTCCCACAGTCGTCGATTGAGCGCAATAATTTTTTTTGAGGAAAATCGACTAACAAGTGGGTTCCTTGACTGCTGGTAAACAGAGGCGTGTGGAGTAAAGAGACTTAGCCAACATTTGGCCCTGCCCGGGAATCAAACCCAGGTCCTCTCGCTTGTGAGGTGAGTACTCTAACCACTGAGCTATGGGATGCGATGTGTTTATTAACACCTACAGTGACTGAGACACTCGGGAGAGAGTACGACTGGCTTGGGATATACTTTGTCTATGGAGTAGTTCAGCTACAAATATCAGCCTGGCTCAGCGAGGAGCATTCTCGCTTTTTTGATTTTGGGGGATTGTCGGCCAGGACAACAGCCCCGCGGGATCTTTTACATTCATCTGAACAGGCAGACAGGACCTCGGGTTAACGTCTCATCCAAAGGACGACACCTCCCACAATGTAGGAACCACCCCCCCCACCCCCTCCCCTCGACACCGCACTGGAGCATCAGCCTGGACTGTCAGCTCGAACTCCCGAAGTGGTGCCTGAGCCCACAAACTTCTGCCCCGGAGCGAAGTAATGCCACCCAATGGCTGGGCCACACACTGGCAGCTCAGACGGTACCTGAATGATGTTGCTGTTGGAGTTTTTGGAGTCGGTGCTGATGTAGACGGAGAAGAACGGTGACGCGAGGTAATCAGCCGCCACTGAGCGGAGCGTTTCCTGAAAGTTTTCCTGGTTCCCGGCCTGGCCCAGGCTCCAGCCCCCCAGCTGTGGGAAGGATTAACAACTCACAGGTTTACACCCCAGTATGCGGCCCATCCTGTACCTGCTGCTTAAATCCAACATTACAACAACAACTTGCGTTTACAAGCGCCCCTCACGCACAGGGCGGAGTCCCAGAGCGATTGACAGTGGGCGGAGGACGACACACCGAGCCGGGGACAGTAGGCACGGTCAAACAAGAAGGTCTTCAGGCGCGACCCGAAGACGGGGCGGGAGGGGGCGAGGCGGAGGGATAGAGCGAGTGTTTCAGAGTTTCGGGGGTGTAGCCTAAAAATCAACCTCTTTGACCAGGGACCAAGGTCCCCTTCCCCACTCCCTTTGCTCAGCGTCTGTCGCTACAGTTCTGAATATGCTATTCGGTATCTTGAGATGTCCTCCTGAAGTGAAAGGTGTTGTATAAAGCAAGTTGCTGTTGTTGTTGCTGCTGTTGTTGTTGATGTGAAGTCGTTGTCTAAATGCAAATTGCTGTTGTGTCTTTAAAGACACGTCTTTTCGCTATCAATGGCAGTGAAACTCCAAGAGTTGGTGCAGCTGATTTCTTAATGATAAAACCCCACAGATTAATTGTCCCCAACGTCCCTGTTGATAACAGCTTCTGAGGCGAGGCCCGTCGCTGACACTCACCTTTGTGATGATGTCCAGCAGGGGCTGAGCCTGAAGTTCCTCGATTTTCTTCTCGTTCATACAGGCCTGATAATACCACTGTGCCTTATGCTCTGCTTGGCTTGTGCTGTTTAATGTGCTGTTCTCTGTGATCAGATCAAAAGCTCATCTTAATAATAATAATCACAATCCTTGCATTTGATATATTTGATATATTACTCACGTTGAGACGTCTCAAAGCGCTTCACAGAATATACTGTGAAGTTAGTGTTAGGTTTAGGTGAATTGACTGTATATTTTGTGGGCGAAATGTGGCAGCCAATTGCACACAGCAGGGACCCACAAATAGTCGTGGATTGAGTGACCAAATTATTTATATATTTGTATTTATTTTATTTGACGGGATTGTTACCCCTGGAAAAGCGATCCGCCAATGGATAAACAACCGAGTTCCTACTTTCTGCTGGTAAACAAAGGCATGTGGAGTGAGGAAATCTGCCCAACATTTCACCCTGCCCGCAAATCAAACGTGAGGTGAGGACTCTAACCACTGAGCTACAGGACTCCAGGAATTAAGGAGGAACTGAAACAAATTTCTTTGCGCAGAGGGTGGTGGGACTGTGGAATTTTCTGCCATAAACCATAGTAGATCTTTGAGACAGGAATACCAGTCACACCTGCTCACAATGGCTGCCTTGTGAACCATTTCCACATGTCTTTACGACGGCGATTCAGCAAGAGACAGAGTGAAAGAGGAAAAGAGAGAGAGAGTGAAGTCAGAGATATAGAGAGTGACAGACAGAGTGAGAGGGAGATGGATAGAGAGATAGAGACAGAGAGTGAGAGTGCGACAGAGTGCGAGAGGGAGACACACACACAAATACAGTGTGAGAGATAGAATGAGAGAGAGGCATAGAGAGAGAGACAGGTAGACAGACAGAATGAGAGAACGAGAGAGAGAGAGAGAGAGAGAGAATGAGTGAGTGAGAGACAGAGAGACACACACACAGAGAAAGAAAAAGAGGGAACGTGCCTGAAAGAAAGAGAGAGGGGCAGAGAGATACAGAGCGAGTGTGAGGAAAGGAGAGAAACAGAGAGTATGAGAAAGATAAAGAGAAGAGACAGTCATATAAAGAAAGAGAGAGAAAAAATATAAAAAGGGGGAAGGGTAGTGAGCAGAGAATGTGATTAAAGCTTTAGTTGAGGAACGAGCAACAAAGCAGTTTCACTGGGAGAAATGGCCTCCTCCTGAGCTAAACAATAACTAGTCTCTAATCCTCTAACCACTAACCCATCCTCCAGTCTGGATCATCTCTCAATTTTATGGGTGTTTCAATATCCTTCACGGGGAAAGCTGCCAGACCAACCCTGCCAAGTGTTTATTTTCTTTCTACGTAAATCTAAGTAAACATGTTCCGTCTCAATGACCCTGACAGTGAGCATACGCACACCATTATCGCTGGTTTGTTGTTACAGCTTTTGCCGTATGTGTTTGAACAACTGTGTCTGACAAACCCTTACTCTGGGTTTCTGCAGCGAACTCTCAGTATAACACACTGAGTAAGGAACAAGCAGAGGGTTGTGAGCTGGACTGGCTCAGAAGAAGCCAAAGAGGTTGCTAAGTGCAAGTGTTTCCTCTGAGGTGGCGGTCGGTAACCAGAGAACATAGATTTAAGATAATTGGCAAAAGAACCAGAGAGGAGACAAAGTGAGTTGTTTTTACACAGAGACTTGTTATGATCTCAAATGCGCTTTCGAAAGGAAATTGGATAGGTACTTGCAAATTTGCAAGGCTTATGGGGTAACAGCGGGGGAGTAGGACTAGTCGGTAGCTCTTTCAAAGAGAAGAGCTGGCACAGGCATGATGGGCCAAATGGCCTCCTTCTGTGCTGTAATATTATTATAATAATAATCCTTGCATTTGATAACCATCATAAAACACTGGTTAGGCCTCAGCTCGAGACTGTGTTCAGTTCTGGGCCCCACACTTTAGGAAGGATGTCAAGGCATTGGAGAGGGTGTAAAGGAGATTTACCAGAATGGTAACAGGAATGAGGGCCTTCAGTTATCAGGAGAGGTAGAGAAGTTGGGATTATTCTCCTTGGAGCAGAGAAGGTTAAGAGGAGACTTAATAGAAGTTTTCAAAATTATGAGGGGATTCGATAGAGTGAACAAGGAGAAATATTTCCACTTCCTTCTGTGCTGTATAATTCTATGATTCTATGATATAGCACTTTTCACATCTTTGAGATGTCTTAAAGCGCTTCACAGAATATACTGTAAAGTGAATTGTCTGTATATTTGGGGATGAAACTCCACAGCCAATTGCACACAACAGCGTCCAACAAACAGTCATGGATTGAGTGACCAAATTATTACTTTTTTTTAGGGAATATTAGCCATGGAAAAGCGATTCGCCAATCAACTAACAACCGGGGTCTTAGTCAATGCAAGGTAAACAGAGGCGTATGGAGTAAGGAAACTTGGCCAAAATTTTGTCCTGCCCGGAAAAAGAACCCAGGTCTCTCACTTGCGAGACGAGTGCTGTAACCACTGACCTACAGGACTCCACATATCATATTCTATGGTAAGTGGGAGGCTGGGGGTTTACGGGAAGCCTGGCTCAGTCAGTATCCCGTCTCACCCCTCCCATTAGATGACTGGTATAAAGTCCCACATGAAGGGACTGCGATTTACAGTCCAGTACTGGGGGGAGGTTGTGGAGTGGAGCGATTGCTCCATTGTTATGAGAAGAGAGTTTCTCTGCCTTCTCCCCACTGGTGTCCTGTCCAAATTGCGCTGCCATGTTTGCCCACGATAAACAGTCACTCCATTTCACAGTCACATCCTGTGAAGCGCTTTAAGACATCCTTCCGATGTGATAAGGTGCTGTACCAAGTGTAAAATCCTTTTGGATGGGACACAAAACAAGATCCTGCCTTCCTGTTCAGATACCGAGATGGTACTGTAAGTACGCTACTCCCTGGGTCCTGGCCAACAATCTGTAGGTCAATTCTCTGTCATCTCAAGGCTGTGCTGGGACATTCCTGCTGCAAAATGGTTGCCTTATTTGCCTACAAATAGTGTTGCCACCTAGGAGAGTTATCAATATAAAGTGTGATGAGATGTTGATGTGGTTAGAGCGCTCGCCTCACAAGCGAGAGACCTGGGTTCGATTTCTGCAGGACAAAACCTTGGGCAAGTTTCCTTACTCCACACGCCTGATAATAACCCCTCAAGAAAAAAAAACAATGGTAATTTGGTCATTCAATCCGCGACTGTTTGTGGGACGCTGCTGTGCGCAATTGGCTGCCGCGTTTCGCCCACAAATATATGTAGTCAATTCACTTTACAGCATATTCTGGGAAGCGCGTTGAGACGTCTAAAAGATGTGAAAAGCACTATATCAAATCCAAGTGTTATTATTTCGAAAAACAAGCTCTTTCCTACGTATTTCAGGCTGCAAACTCAACAAGGTCAACAAACCCTGATTACCCAAAACACGTTCAGGAGCATTGGTGCACATCGGCTTAGACAATAATTGATAAATGACCTGATAAATGACACCTAACACGGGTTCAGCAAGGGTAGATCTTGTTTGACCAATTTGATAGACTTTTTGTTTGAGGAGATGACAGCACAAATTGCTTTGGGAAGCCATATGTACCTCGACTTCCAAAAGGCACTGGACAAAATTACCACAGGAGAGATTACATAGAATATACGGCACACAAACAGGCCATTCGGCCCAACTGGTCTATGCCGGTGTTTATGCTCCACATGAGCCTTCTCCTGCCCTTCCTCAACTAAGCCTTCAAGCATAACCTTCTATTCCTTTCTCCCTCATGTACTTATTTAGCTTTCCCTCAAATGCATCGATGCTATTTGCCTCAACGACTCCTTGTGGTAGCACGTTCCACATTCCCACCACTCTCTGGGTAAAGAAGTTTCTTCTAACTTCTCTGTTTAATTTATTGGTGACTATTTTATATTGATGGGCCCTGGTTTCGGTTTCCCCCACAAGAGGAAACATCTTCTCTATGTCATAATTTTAAAGACCTCTATTAGGTCACCCCTCACCCTTCTCCTTCAAATTCCTTCAAGATTCCTAAAAATATCTGCTGTCTCTGGCTTTCAAGGTTAAGGCATGAACATGGATTCAGAATTGGCTGAAGGCAAGAAAGCAGAGGGTTGTTGATGAATATAGAAGGGTATAGGAGAGAATAATAATAATAATCCTTGCAGTTAATATAACGTCTTATCACGTCTTTGAGACGTTTCAAAGTGCTTCACACAATATAATGTATATGTAAGTGTATATGTAGATTGTATATTTTGTGGGTGAAATCAGTAGCCAATTGCGCACAGCTGTGTCCCACAAACACTCGCAAATTGAGTGACCAAATTATTATTTTTTTTAAAAAGGATTATCAACCCCAGAAAAGCGATCCGCCAATTGACTAACAACCGGGTTCCTAAACAGAGGAGTGTGGAGTAACTGTAAATAGTTGGGATTATAGTAAAAGAATCATTAGTATTGATCATGTAGTGAATAGATGAATTAAGTAGAATGAATTAAAGAAATAAAAACTGCCCTTTGAAACACACACACACAGTCCTAGTAAAGAGGCTCCGAGCTCGGAGGAGTACACTGGAATGTGATAAGGATAGCTAATCCAGAGGATAGATGGTAGGACATCTGTGCTTACAAAGGCATGTGACCTACGGGCAGGAGATAGGAACCTGGGATAATTGGACCAGGAGAATGGATGGGATACAAACTAGTCATTAAAACTGAGAAAAAAAAACTTAAAATGAGCAGGTCACATGGACAGAGTTAGAAAGAAGGACTGAAACTTCAGGGACATGGAGTCAGGGTTTGGTCGGGCTGGATAAGATGGAATAGGAGGAGTATTATTCTTTTGCAGAAGATACTGCTGGTACAAGAGAAACAACTTGAAGATAGGGAAAGAACGCCTGGGAAAAGTGCAGAGAGCGGGAAAGAAGTCATGAAAAAAAGAGTTAGAACATAGAACGCTGGCGAAGAAGGGTATAAAAATCGATAGCCAAAACTAGTTTTTTAGGAGAGCCTCTGAGGAGAGAAAAGGGATAAACCTCTACGGAGAGGGAGAAGAGTGTCTTTGAGGGAAAGAGGACAAGTCCAGCTCTTGCCGGAGTGGACCACCAAGAGACGTTTGCAGCAGAAGCAAACCAGAGACGGTGTTTAATTTTTCTGTCAGCCTTAGAACTTTGTCATGATTTCCTGCCTACTTGGTAGTAATCTCTCCTCCTGATTAAAACACACGGCCAACATACATACAAAACAGTTAGAGGTGATTCAGGCACATTTCATATGACACATCATTTTTTTAAATGTATATTTAGAATTTTAGTATTGAGTGCATCTTGTTAAAATAATTGCTATAGTAGTTACTTAAGCGCGACAAGTAATGATAATGCGTCAGGTGTAATGCGATGCTTAGGCTTGTGTTGCTTTTATAATTGCTAATAATATGTTTTAATAATATCCTCGGTGTGGTTTCTTACGAACGCTTGAACCCAATTTCACATCAGGAAACTTGCCTATACTTCACCCTGTCCAGGAATTGAATCTGCGTTTCGCCCAAAGTACACAGTCACTACACTTTACAGTATGTCCTGTGCAGCTCTTTTGAGACATCTCAACAGCGTGATAAGGTGCTGTATCAAATGCAAGGATTATTGTTATTATGATCGACAGCAGGAGGCAGATACCCCCTTGAGAGACCCCAGATATACCAGCAGCCGAGGTGTGTCGCTGCTGAGCTCAGCGCTATCCACAAAATCACCTTCCTTATCTTGCTCGCTCCGTGCACAAGTCGTCCGCACATTTTTTCCAATATTTCTTTAATGGGATCCAGATCTCAGTGGCGCTCACAGGCAAAGCTCATCTGCTTCCAATTAGCCGCCTGCTCACTTAAAGGGCCTCATTAAAGGGCTGAGCAATACCAACTCATTTTCTCTCTCTCTCTCTCCAACAAACACTGTTGGTTGGACTGCAGCGTTCTATGCTGAAACCTTCCAGGGTTCTTTCCTTAAAAAGGCATTATTCACTTCAAACACGTCCCCAGATTTACTTTCACACCGTCTTTTGCTCTGAGAATAGCAGACAGTCCACACTGCACTGATGGACAGGAATATATAATGACGTTTTTCAGGAATTGTCTGGTTTCAGCTCTGTTGACTGCACTCCGAAGGCATCTTACTGAAGGCTTTAACTCTGGAACGCTCTTCCTCTAGCCCTCCGCCTTGCCCCCCCACCTTCCCCATTTTCAGGTCACGCCTAAGGTTGGTGTTCTGCTCCTCCACCTTCAAGCGCTCTGGGACGCTACCCTGTGTAAAAGCAAGTTGTTGCTGTACTGTCAAAAGAGAGATGGAGAGGAGAGGAGAGCGAGATAGGGATAGAGGGAAAGGGGGGAAAAGGGAAAGAGAGGGGAGAAGGTTTGCTCCTCTAGAGCTGTGTGGCTCGTGGTGAAAGCCCCTTCTCTGTTTGATTGCGATGCTGGATCTTTAACATCATAAGAACATAAGAATTTGCTGACGGAAGACCAAGGTCCATCTCGTTCTCCTTCCACCATTCTGGCAGTCACATGACACGTCGCGTCCTAACCTATGCTGTGTCCCCGGATGTTATTTTCCAGCAGAATTTATCTAATTTTGTTCTTGAAACAAATGACACTTTCTGCTTTCACCGTCTCCCTCGGGAGTCTGTTTCATACGTTTACTACTCGCTGAAGAAGCGTTTCCGCAGATTTGTTCTGAAATAGCCCCCAGACCTCGCTTTAACGTCTCAGCCAAAGGACATCACCTCTGACACACAGTGCACCCCTGGCACAGTACTGGGATGTGTGCCTAGACTGAGATCAAAGTCTTGATGAAGGGATTTGTTCTGATCACAACCTTTTGCTGCCAAACCATGGTAGTTGGTTGAGCTTTACTGTAATCAGAACATCTCTCCACAAGTCCAGGTTGATAGAAGAAAACAGCATATAAGAGCATTTCAAAGTTGCGACAGACGCGAATGTTGTTGTTTGGGGAGGTACACGTGCAGCCACGAGATGGGATTCGTGCAGTGAGGGAGGAATACTAGTCAGGACACCAGAAGAAAAGGCTTTTGCTATCATAGCAAACGTTACGAATTTGTGCAGAGAAGATTAAGAATAGACTAAATAGAAGTTTTGAAAATTATGAGGGGATTCGATAGGGTGAACAAGGAGAAACTATTCCCACCGGCGGGTGGGTCGGTAACCCGAGGACACCGATTTGAAATAGTTGTTAAAAGAAACAGAGGGGAGGGGAGGAGAAATGTTTTCACACAGCGAGTTATATACAAATGTAATCTTGTTGTTGTTGGGATCTGGAATGCATTGCCTGAAAGTCGAAGTCGATTCGATAACAGCTTTTAAGAGAAAAGTAGATAACTATTTGGGGAGGACAGGGGAGTTTGGGGGCTTTTTTGGGAGCTTGCAGGGCTATGGGGAGAGCGCGGGGGAATGGGATTGATTTGGAAGCTCTTTTAAAGAGCTATTAAAGAGCCGGTACAGACACGATGGGCCAAATGGCCTCTTTCTCTGCTGTATAATTCGATGATTCTATGATATAGCGATAGCTCCATAAGGCAAGAGACCTGTGCCTGTGGGACTGTGTGTGTGTGTGTCTGTGTGTCATCTCCACATACATCTTCCACACCTCCAACTCCCACCGCACACCCTCTCCCACATATAACCCCCCAACACCCCCACCCCCTCCCACACACAGAGAAACACACAAATTAGAAGAGAACCTACCAGGCAAAAGTGAAAAAAATTTCCTTAAAAGACAAATCACTGAACGTTCTGTCCATGTGTTACAAACAGTCCAGCAGCCCCCAACCCCCACTCCCCAGCCCCCTCCCCTCAGACCCCACTCCCCAGCCCTCAACCCCCAGCCTCCACCCCCCACCCCCCACTCCCAGCCCTCAACCCCCAGCCCCTCCCCTCAGACCCCACTCCCAGCCCTCAACCCCAGCCTCCACCCCCCAGCCTCCACTCCCCAGCCCTCACCCCCTAGCCCCCTCCCCTCAGCCCCCCAGCACCAGCGGACGTGGCACATGTGAATGAGTGTGTGAATAGTGAGTGTGTGAGTGAGGGAGTGTGTGAGTGAGTCTGTGAGTGAGTGTGTGTGAGTTAGTGAGTGTGTGAATGTTTGAGTGTGAGCAAGTGTGTGTGAGTGTGTGAGCTAGTGAGTGAATGAGTGTGTGAGTGAGTGAGTTAGTGAGTGAGTGAGTGTGCCCAGTGTGCACGCACACACGCGCGCACGTACCTAGAAGGTGTTTCATGATGGCTTGGTTGTGTTCCCACAGGCTGTTGAACGTCCCCCACCTGGACTTGCCATCGGGGAGGGGGTTGGACTTCATCCAGCCGCCGCAGGCGTAATTGTAGAAATTGTCACAGGGACTGACAGAGCGATCCAGGGATTTGAGAACACGGCTGGCCACGGTCACACAGGCCTCCGTCAGGCAAACCTCAGGGGGATCTACAATACACACACACACACCAGCACCAGGTTAGTGTAACAACAACAGCACAGTGCCCCTCACCCAGGGCAGCGTCCCAGAGCGCTTGATAATGGCGGAGAATGGGATGGGGGGGGTGGGGGGAGGGTGTGCATGACTGTAGGCACAGTCGAAGAGGAAAGTCTCCAGGTGGGATCTGAAGATGGGGAAGGATGGGCGAGGCGGAGGGATAGAGGGAGAGGGTTCCAGAGTTTTGGGGCTTAGTGACTGAAAGTGCGGCCACTGATGGAGGAACGGAGGGTTCGAGGGACAAGCAGAAGCTGCAGCCAGTCGCGAAGAGGCAGTGGGTAGTGGGTTGGGGTGTAAGCAGGTCGGAGTGGTCGGGAGGTGTCAGGGTATAGAGGGAGTTGAAGACGCGTAAGCGTTAACTAGCACCAATCAGAGCTTGCGTTTCTCAATTTCTCCAAAAACCCTTCCCCTCCCTCCTTCACATTCCCACCTCCTGAATCCTGTTTACAAAATCTCCATTGAAACAACTCTTTTTGGCCGTGTCCCAGTGCCCCCTCCTCTCCGCTCCCCCAATGCCTCGCTTCCAACAGGGGAAAGACACAGGATACATTGGGGCGAGTGGAAGTACAACAGCAATTTATAATAATAATCGTTGCATTTGACATAGCGCCTTATCATGTCGTTGAGACGTCTCAAAGTGCTTCACAGAATATACTGTAAAGTGGAGTCCCACAAAGAGTTATGGATTGAGTGACCGAATTATTATTATTTTTTCTGGGGTGGGATTATTACCCTCAGAAAGCAATCCTTACTTGCACTTACCACAAGATCAGTTTGGATGAAGAAGGACCTGATCTTATCTTATCCCTCCTAGACACCCACCTTACTGTCCTCCCATCGCAGCATTGAGCTGTTTTATTTTAAAATGAGTCCCTGTGTCCCGGCCTCAACAACTCTTCTGTCATTACCCTCTGGGTAAAAGAAAGCCTTTCTGGTGTCTCCTGTAATTACTCCTTTGTTCCCTCTTGTTTTACTGTCTGAGTGCATCTGACAGTATTATTGTTACTTTTTTTAATCCCATTTAAATAGGATTAAAAAAAACCTTGTGGATGAACATCTCAAAACATCTGGCCTTGATAGAGCGATGACTGAGGAAGGGCGAGAGTTTGAGAGGGGAGCAGCAGAGAAGCTGAAGACTAGCCTGCGATGGTGGGACAAGGAGAGTGAGCGACTGACAGTGAAGCAGAGTCAAAAATTAGCATTTACAAAGCCCTTTCACGCCCACAATTCACAAACACTCAGGAACACTCCCAGCGTTAGCTGTGAGGTTGAGGAATAAGATTACCACACCCAATCACAATAACATAATCCTTGCATTTGATAGAGCACTTTATCAGGTCTTCGAGACGTCTCAAAGCGCTTCACAGAATATACTGTAAAATGAATTGACTGTATATTTTATGGGCGAAACGCAGCAGCCAATTGCGCACAGCAGCGTCCCACAAACAGCCGCAGATTGAGTGACCACATTATTATTTTTCATATATATATTTTTAACCACCTGCTCTGCCCCCTCCATCCCCGCAGAGCCTCAGATATTCCCAATATCTATCTCGTTCAGACACGCAATTTATTCAACCTGTGATGTGGACCTCAGTGTACGTCACTTTACAAATAATAATAAAAATGATGATAAACCTTGCATTTGATGTAGTATCTCATTATGTCAAAACAGTCTGTAAGACACTCACCCGGAATGTCCAGGAGCTCAAACATGGCCATGAAGGGCAGCAGCAGGAGCCTCGGTAACAAGCTCCAGTCCATACCAAGTGTCAGAGTGGCCGTCAAGTCAGAATCGAGAGGAAATGAATGGTGTGAACTGCAGGACAACACGGAACAGAGACCTCGCCGAGGGAAGCCACTGCCTGGCCTTTATATGGGAAATGGACCTAACTGTGGGTGGTTATTGGGAACGGCTGCTGTTGACTCAATGTTGCTGACCTGGTTATTTGGGCAGTGAAGGTCAGGACACCGGCTCCTCTTAGGCAACAGCCACCTCCCTGCCAGGTCTTTCCCAGTCCAGGATACAACTGGATTATCTTTGTTGATCAGCAGGTTTTTTTGGGGAGGGGGCAGGGTTTGGGGTGGGGGGGCTGGGTGGGTGTAGGGTCCAGGGTGGGAGGGGAGAGGAGAGGCCAGGGCAGGAGTGGGAGGGTCCAGGGTGCGACGGGTAGGGGGCAGGAGGGAGGTAAATCAGCAAGAAACTCTCTGAAGAATACCGAATAACCCATCACTCTGTAACCCAGAGAGCGAGAGGGACAGAAACCATCACAAAACGTGCGTTAGTCAGTCGGTTGGTGAGGATGGGGTGAGGGTGAGGGTGGTGGTGAGTGTGCACCCCGACCCGAGGCCAAGCTCAGGTTGAACCCTATCCCGGCTCTGACCGGTTACACAGGTAACCAGACGGTTTAGACCTTTCCTGGATGGATCAGGAAGCTGTAAAGAATGTGTGAAGAACCCGCCCTCCTGTCACGGGACCAGCCCAGGACCGTCGCCTCCTCTTCTTTAGGCCAACGTGAAACACAAAGAAAAAGAAACGCGAGTTTCCGTCAATCTCGGATACATTTCATTTCGCCCACAAAACACACAGTCACTAGACTTTACAGTGTCTCCCGTGAATGGCTTTGGGACGTCTCGAAGACGCGATGAGGCACTGGGTCAAATGCAAGGATTACTGTTGTTGTCGTCGTCGTTGTTGTTGTCTTGCGGACTCGAATTCTCATTATTGGTCACTGTTACCTCTGTATCTGAGAAGCAGCACAACTACACAGGAAAGCAGCGAGAGGAGCAAGACGAGCAGCATGAGGAGGAGCCGTTTCTCTATGTGGGTCCTGTCCTCCCAGCAGCTCCTCAGCCCTTTCGACCTCCTGAAGTTTATCTGCGAGGAACGAAAACAAAGGTTTGTCAAAGGAGAGGGGCCGGGAGGGCTCAGGCCCTCGTCTGTGTGTTTTTTTTTTAAGATAACTCTTTCCGCTGTCGGTAACCAGATTGGAGTTTACTCGTATCACAAAAGAGAAACAAAGGAGATGTCGGGAGAATCCAGCTCCAAATGCCGGACAACTCCACCAAAGCACCTTCACCGTTCGCTGTTTGTGTGAATATCGCTCTGCACAAATCAGCTGCCCCGTTTGCCCACAAAATAATAGTCCTGTTCTGGGATTAGGTAAACAGGAGAAGTCCCTCCAGGGAGAGAGAGCGCATTCCATTCCATTCCAGTTCAACCATCCATCTCTGGGATTTCCAGGTGTAGGTGGGATGCATAGAAATCTCAGCTTGGTTTGGAGACTCTTAAGCAACGGTGATGGGTTTCCGCACACGTTGGGCAAAAAAAACAAAAACAAAATCGGAACACAGAAAATCTTTAACCCCACATCCCCCCCTAATAATAATCCCTCCAAAAAAACAAAACAATAATAAATTGGTCATTTTCAATCCACGACTGTTTGTGGGGCATTGCTGTGCGCAATTGGCTGCCGCGTTCGCCCACAAATATACAGTCAATTCACTTTACAGTGTGTTCTGTGAAGCGCTTTGGGACGTCCTCCCGACGTGAAAAGCGCTATATCAAATGCGAGGATTATTATTATTATTATTATTATAATCCCCGGCGAAGGCAGAAGCCGTAAATGGAACCAGAAAGCCGCGAAAAACAGCAACACAGGAAAAAGAGAAAAAGGAAAGAAAAAGAAAGCGTGAGAGAAGTTCAGCGTACAAGAGTTCCCGAGTTTATGAATGGGTTGAGAGTGTCTATCTGCTCTGATCAAGGCCACTGGGTTAGAGTGACCTGTCACAACTGACATGGAACCACTTCAGGAAACTGTCCCTTCCTTTTGTTTGCTCGGTGTCGAGGCCGTACGGGGAGGTTTGGTGAGGGTGGGGGTGAGGGTTGATGTGCGGGTGAGTTTGGGGGTGGGGGTGAGGATAGATGTGGGGGTGGATGGGGTGGAGTTTTAAGGCAATGGTTGAGAACTCCTGGGCCCTCGATACCCTCATTTATAACCAGAGAAAGACATACACACGCTCAGAGAGAGAGACACATACACACGTGGAGAGAGAGACATATACACACGCGGAGAGAGAGAGACATACACACACACACACACACACGAGAGAGAGACACATGCACACAGAGACACATACACGTACAAGAGAGAGAGACATACACACACGCAGAGAGAGAGAGAGACCTACACACACAGACATACACACACGTAGAGAGAGACACACACACAGACCTACACACACGCAGAGAGGGGGAGAGACATACACACACGCAGACATACACACACGCAGAGAGACATACACACATGCAGAGAGAGAGAGAGAGAACAACACACAAGTAGAGACTCGTGTACATTTAAAGACCCAGAGAAAAATGCAAAGACACATAAAGACACACACACAAAGACATACGTTTAGAGAACATATGAAATGCTAAACGAATAAAGACCAAAGTCCATCCAGTTCACCTTCCCACGCATAAAGAAATACACAGTTGCTCACAGAGAAACACCGACCCACACAGACACCCACCCACACAGACACCCACCCACACAGACACCCACCCACACAGACACCCACCCACACAGACACCCACCCACACAGACACCCACACATACACCCACCCACACATACACCCACCCACACCCATCCACGCATATACCCACCCACACATACACCCACCCACACCCATCCACGCATATACCCACCCACACATACACCCACCACACAGACATATACCCACCCTCACACACATACACCCACCCTCTCACACATACACCCACCCTCACACACATACACCCACCCTCACACACATATACCCACCCTCACACACATACACCCACCCACACGCAGATACACACACATCCAGGACTATTTTGTTAGGGAGGAATGAATGTTGACCACAGCATCAATACAATCCCGAGCGCTCAGACAGGACCTCAGTTTAATGTCTCATCTGAAGGACATCAGCTCCGCCAACACAGAGCTTTACCCAGGACTTGGTCTCCAAACACAACCATGTTTAACATCAGTCGGTTACAGATTAACGACAGGGAGAAAAATCAGCAGCCTCAGAGCCAAGAGATCGTCGACTATACCAACTCCCTGCTTGTCGGCCTCTCCAACTCCCTCCTCCATAGGCTGCAGATCATCCAGAACTCTGCAGCTCGTGTCCTCTCCCGCACCAGGCTCCGTGACCCTATCACCCCCATCCTCGCCCGACTCCACTGCCTCTCCATCCCTCAGAGGATAGAATTCAAAATCCTCGTCCTCACCTTCAAGGCCCTCCATGGCCTGGTTCCCTCCTACCTCTAGGACCTGCTAATGCCTTATCAACCTGTCCGCTCCCTCCACTCAGCGGGTTCCTGCTCCATGGTACCCGCCCGGCCCATCCCACCATTGGAGTTCAGGCTAACCTCCCACATTCCCTCACGTCGCTCCCTCCCTCGGCTCCTTCAAGGCACGACTCAAGACCCTCCTCTTTGACCGTGGCTTCAGCCACCCCCCTACCCCCTCTGCCCTCCACCCTCCCCGATTCCCCCCCACATTCAGGTCCTAATCGCTTGGGACCTCCTCCTGATGTGAAAGGCGCTTTACAAATGTAATTGTGTATAGTATTGTGTCATTATCTTTTGTGGCCGACAGGTCCCAGTGACACAGGGACGGACTGCTTCACTTGCAAGGGTATGAACCAGATGTATGTTCAAAGCCAGAGAGAGTTTGTTCTGGCTCCATGTTGCTGGGATTAGAACCTTGTTTGTACCTTTGATAGTACAGCAGGGGGGGGAGGAGGCGGGGGTGGGGAGTGCTCGGGAAGGGACAAGAAAGAGCCACAGACCATATTGTTAACAGGAACGCCATCTTGATATCCCAATAAACACTGTGGATTGACTGAAATTAATTGCAATTTACACCAGATTTAGCGCCTGTTCCGTTTCGTCCTGTGTTTCTCACCCAGTAAAATGCATAAACCTTCCTTTGACTTATTCCAGTGACTTATTGATCCGACATGTTTCAAAGCATTTCACAATAATTACTGCCATGTGGCCGACTGTGTTTGTAGCCACATGTGGTAACCATTTTGCCACATTAAGCCCTCAGATGTACAAACAATTTATTTGGCTGACTGTTGGCCAAGACAACGGGAGAAAAATCACAGTAACACAAATCTTTAACATGCACCTGGATGGGCTTCAGTGGTAGTGCACGTACAGTACAAGCTCCCGAGGGAGACAGACAGACAGACAGAGAAAGCAGAAAGTGTTGATTCTTTCAAGAACAAATGAGATAGAGATTTCTTTTAAGACATAATATCATGGGCCACCGTGTAGAATTTGGGGTATGAAATGTGTCATTCATTGCCAGGATGGTGAAAGGCAAACTGGATGACAAACTTCTTTCGTCAGCAAATTCTTATGTTCTTAAGAGCAGAAAGGGGCTCAGTTTAACACACCATCTGAAGGACTGCACTGGAGCCTCAGCCTGGGACTGCAAGCTCAAGTTTGCCTGCAAACCACACAGTCACTACACTTTACAGTACATCCTGTGAGGCACTTTGAGACAAAGAACCATAGGACCATAGAATTCTCCAGCACAGATGGAGGCCGTGGGCCATCGAGTCTGTGCCAGCTCTTTGAAAAGAGCTTCCAAATCAATTCCACTTTCCCGCACTCTCCTGATAGCCCTGATCAACCCCACTCCCCCGCGCTCTCCCCATAGCCCTGCAAACTTGTCCTCCCCAAATAATTATCTACTTCACGCTTAAACATTAGTATCAAATGGATCCTGTAGCTCAGTGGTTAGAGCACTCGCCTTGCAAGTGAGACACTTGGGTTCAATTCCAGGCAGAGGGCGAAACCTTGGGCAAGTTTCCTTACTCCACACAGAGCCTAATAATAATCCCTCTAAAACAACGCAATAATAAATTGTTCATTTTCATTTCACGACTGTTTCGCCCACAAATATATACAGTCAATTCACTTTACAGCATATCCTGTGAAGCGCTTTGAGTCGTCGAGAAGACGTGAAAAGCGCTATATCAAATGCAAGGATTATTATTATTATTATTATAATAAATTGGCTTCCCCCGGCCTTTCAGGCAATGAATTCCAGATCCCAACAACTCGCTGTGTGAAAACATTTCTCCTCACCTCCCCTCTGTTTCTTTTAACAACTATTTTAAATCGGTGCCCTCGGGTTACCGACCCACCCGCCAGTGGGAATAGTTTCTCCTTGTTCACTCTATAAAATCCCCTCATAATTTTGAAAACTTCTATTAAGTCTCCTCTTAACCTTCTCTGCTCCAAGGAGAATAATCCCAACTTCTCTACCTCTCCTGATAACTGAAGGCCCTCATTCCTGGTACCATCCTGGTAAACCTCCTGATGAGAGGCGTTACAACAAACGTGAGGGTTATTATTACTATTATAACAGTCCCTGTCCGTGTGGCTTGACAACTTTCTGACCAGGAAACAGGGACATGACCTCCTGAGCCAGGCTGACACAAGTTCGAAAAACAATAGTTCATTCATTATTTTCCAATAGGAAATGGGACAAAAGAACATTGCAAATCGTGGACTAAGTCTCCTTGGGGGGTTAATCCTACCAACACAGATTAGCTCAAAGAGATTGCTGCCGACATGATTAGTATTGAGATATCTTTATGGGGCAGGAAATTGCTCTGAATCCAGGAGCTGAAAGGAATCTTCAAATAACAACCAGCGCGACCTGAACGATGGTCCAGAGCAACATGTTAATGGGACCAAAAACGCTATGTTTCATAACCATTTCAAAGTGACATCTAGCACTTCAAACCCCCCAAATACCACCTAGTCGCAGGTTGTGGGACCATCTGCATGTTCAAATGGACATTAAAAGATCCCACGGCGTTATTGAAAAAGAGAACTGAGTTTCTCTCTCCTGGTGTCCTGGCCGACAATCTCTCAGATAAAATTGGTTGTTCACTTTATGGCTGTTTGTTGCCGCATTTGCTTGTCACACCATACAGTACTGTACATCCTGAAGGGTTTTAAAACATCTTCCGAGCGTGAAAGGCGCTGTGTCAAATGTATGGATTATTATTTACTATCTCGTCTCCAAATTTAAGAGAGCAGATTTGGATAAAAATCTTAAATTCACTCTTAATTTGGACATGACCTGGTACCTGTGTTTGTCCCGGAGAGTTCCGGCATCGGTTGGCGGGTCCCAAAGCTTGGAGCAACAACCGGCTAAACCTGATGTTAATAGAGTCTGGCAAACCTCCAACTCGTCCTGTTAACCTGTCAGAGCTGCGGGTGAATTAACACATCGCACTGGTTGGGAAACGTGGCAATTTTACACCAACAGGAAACCATTACTCCAGGTAGCAAAACTGGTCAAACTTTCCAAAGCGATCCCAGTGAGTTTCCTCTGTACAGGTCCCTGCCGCTGCTCACGGTTTGACAGCCACTCCACACACATCTGGGATATGGCTGGTGAACCGCATTCAGTTGGGGAGGGGAAGAACTCAGAATAGACCCAAGAAACGTGGCTCACAGTAACGTTGGGGCTGACTAGAATCTATTAGATTTGCTGGGAAGTGTGAAGGAAGGGTCTTATCTAATTACAGAGGTAAACAGAGGTGTGTGGAGTAAGGAAACTTGCCTAAGGTTTCGCCCCGCTCGGGAATCAAACCCAGATTCTCTTGCCTGTGAGGCGGCTGCTCCAACCACTGAGTTACAGGCCTCCAAACGGGGGTGAGGAGGGAGAGCTCGACATAGATCTTGGAGAGGAAACCAGGAGACATGACTCTCAACAACATTGGGGCTGACTAGAATATATATAATAAGCCTTGCATTTGATTTAACACTTTTCACGTCTTCAAGGCGTCTCAAAGCGCTTCACAGGATAGACTGTAAAGTGAATTGACTGTATATTTGTGGGCGAAACGCGGCAGCTAATTGCGCACAGCAGCGTCCCACAAACAGTCGTGGATTGAAGTGACCAATTTTTTTTTTCTTGAGGGATTATTATTAGGTGTGTGTGTGGAGTAAGGAAACTTGCCCAAGGTTTCTCCCTGCCGGGAATCGAACCCAGGTTTCTCGCTTGCGAGGTGAGTGTTCGAACCACTGAGTAGCTACAGAATCTATTAGGTTTGCTGGAAAGTGTGAAGGAAGGGTCCATGGGCAAGGAAACTGCAGTCAAGAGAGGGCGGGGGCTTTTATAAGTCACTATACACACACACACACTCATACACTCACCACACACACACAATGCACAGTGATTAATCATTCAGGAGGAAGCTCAGGGAAACAATTAGTTAGAAAGGGGAAGGAGCTAAAATGCGGCTTTTTTAAAATAGGATTTCCTCAGTAGGGAAGCCCGACAGAATTCCCAGATGCTGGGATAGTTTTGAAGCGGCATTCCCGCGGGGATGGAGTTTGGGGGACCGGAAGGGATTTCCCCTGTTGGTCGGGTAGGCTCCTTAATAAGAAAAAAGAGAGTATCTGGTATTTTAGCTGCCAGGAGAAACGTCAGGACTGAAAGAAAATGGGGACAGGTGTTGTGTGACGTACCTGTGAGCTGTCCGGATAAACCTCGCCATCACCAACCGAGTCAATCAGATCATCTTCTTCGATGGTGGCTCTCTTGTAAGTAGACATCTGAAAAGCCAAGTGAATGACAGACTCTCTGAGTGTTTCCATGGTTCGGTCGCCCCCCCCAACCCGGCTCTGCACTCTCCCCCAACCTACACACATACACCCTTCCTCTTCCTCTTCCCGCTGTGCCGGAGACAATGTGAAAATCCAGCAAGGAGTCGCTAGGGAAAACCAAAGCTCCGCCACTCCTGCCGTACTCCAGAGCAAGCCATCCCGTGGGCAGCCCAACTCAGCCCAGCACAACCCAGCCCGACACTGCACAGCTCAGGCCAGCACAGCTCAGCTCAGCCCGACACTGCACAGCTCAGCCCAGCACAGCTCAGCTCAGCCCGACACTGCACAGCTCAGCCCAGCACAGCTCAGCCCGACACTGAACAGCTCAGCCCAGCACAGCTCAGCCCAGCACAGCTCAGCCCAACACTGCACAGCTCAGCCCAGCACAGCTCAGCCCACCACAGCTCAGCCCAGCCCAGCACAGCTCAGCCCGACACTGCACAGCTCAGCCCAGGCAGCTCAGCCCAGCACAGCACAGCTCAGCTCAGCCCAGCCCAACTCAGCCCGACACTGCACAGCTCAGCCCAGGCAGCTCAGCCCAGCACAGCACAGCTCAGCTCAGCCCAGCCCAACTCAACCCGACACTGCACAGCACAGCTCAGCCCAGCCCAGCACAGCTCAGCCCAGCCCAGCACAGCTCAGCTCAGCCCAGCACAGCTCAGCCCGACACTGGACAGCTCAGCCCAGGACAGCTCAGCCCAGCACAGCCCAGCCCAACTCAACCCGACACTGCACAGCACAGCTCAGCCCAGCACAGCTCAGCTCAGCCCAGCCCAGCACAGCTCAGCTCAGCCCAGCACAGCTCAGCCCGACACTGCACAGCTCAGCCCAGGACAGCTCAGCCCAGCACAGCCCAGCCCAACTCAACCCGACACTGCACAGCACAGCTCAGCCCAGCACAGTACAGCTCAGCTCAGCACAGCTCAGCCCAGCACAGCTCAGCTCAGCCCGACACTGCACAGCTCAGCTCAGGACAGCTCAGCCCAGCACAGCCCAGCTCAACTCAACCCGACACTGCACAGCACAGCTCAGCCCGACACTGCACAGCCCAGCACAGTACAGCTCAGCCCAGCAGAGCTCAGCCCAGCACAGCATAGCCCAGCACAGCACCCTCACTCCTGTCCTGTCTGTTCTGTTGTGCTCGGTCGCTCAATACATGGCTGGCATTAGCCCTGCGATGGGAAGGGAGGGGGAGTAACTCAGGCTCTCGCAGACACAAAGAGAAAAAAAGGTCTTCAAGGGAGTGATCTCAGAGCCGGCTCAGCGTTCTCAGAGCGAGCTCTCAGATGCAATACAGCCACGGACGGACACCTCCGTAAGTGGGCGGCTGCTTACTTTGAGATGGTTTAAGGGGTAATCCTAACCAACAAGGTTCCTTGCTCACAAACACACACCTACTTCCTGGTTCTGTTCTTTCACTCTCACGGCTCAGGAATTCACCAGCATATTAATACCCGGCTCCAGATGCCGGGCATCAAGACCTGCGCTCAACATGCTCCCAGAGAGAGTGTTGGCTGTGTTGTGTTATTTTGAGCTCGAGACAAATTTCTCCCCTCAGGGATTTGTGGGAGGGACCGCTATTAAAGTTTCTTTGCTCATTTCTCCAATTTGTTCTCTCTCTCCCCCCTCCTCTTTTCTTTCCCCCTTACCTTCCTCTTCTGTCTCGCTCCCCCCCCCCACACCCCTCTTCCCTCTCCACCCACAACTCTTCTCTCGCCCCCCAATCCTCTTCTCTCTCTCCCCCACCCTCCTCTTTCCTCTCCCCCCACTCCTCTTCTCTCTCTCCCCACCTTCCTCTTCTATCTCCCCCACCCCCATACCACCGCTCCCTCTGTGAAAGGTTCTGCTGGTTAGATCACAGGTTTCTTAGTAATTGCTCAGGTGCTGTGTAAATACTTAACCCCTTCTCCAGAGCTTTGCTGCTTCAAACCCTGGAACCACAGTCACACAAAAGCCCGGCTGTAATAACAACCCTCACACTTGATACGGCGCCTTTCACGTCCAGAGGTCGGCTCAAAGGGCGTCACAGGATTTACTGTAAAATTTCACTGTAAAGTGTAGTGACTTATGTATTTTGTAGGCGAGAGCAAAAGCCAAAGTTCCCTCAAACAGCCCATTTGTGACTGTATTACCATATTAAACATTTGTGGAGACTGCAGATTAGCAGTTAGCGCGCTCCCTAACTAGCGAGAAGACCCAGGTTTGATTCCCGGGGAGGATGAAATCTTAGGCAAGTTTCCTCACTCCACACTCACGCCTCTGTTTACCCAACAGTAAGAAGAAACCCGGTTGTTAGTTGCTTGGCGGATCGCTTTCCACTTATATTCTCCTCAAAACAATGGTAATAATAATTTTGTCAATCAATCCACGGCTGTTTGTGGGTCGCTGCACGCACAAAATATATAGCAGCTGCACTTTACAGTATATTCTGTGAAGTGCTTTGAGACGTCTCAAAGATGTGATAAGGGGCTGTATCAAATGCAAGGATTATAATTATTTTTATTATATCACTGCAGCAGATTACTGGACCATATCACTTTATGTGTCGCCTACAAATACACACGGTCACTACACTTTTTGCGACGTCTCAATGTGGTAAGAGGCTAGTATATCAAATGCAAGGAATATTATTAAATGTTCTCTATGGTGGATTTAGCCGATTTTCCTCTATTCCTCTCTTACGCTTTATTTCTTCCCTCCTGCCCTTCACTCGCCCGTTTCCAATGTAAGGAACTCCAATGATCCCTGGCACCGGGGTCTAAGGGAAACTGTAAATTACCAAAGAAATGTTTTGAAGTTTTTTTACAGCTCAGATTAATCGGAAATGAAGAGAATATTGGCAAAACACAGCAGTCAATCTGCACAGCCCCCCCCCCCCCCCCCCCCCGACACTCGTCAAACGATTAACGAGACAGTATAAATGTGGTGATCAGGTAACCCCATTATAAGCAACAAAACACTTACATTTATATAGCACCACTCACGTCCCAGAGCCCTTGACAGTGGCAAAGCATGACGCCAAGCTGGGGGAGTGGGGAGGTGACTGTGGGCACGGTTGAAACGGAAAGTCAGAAGATGGGGAAGGAAGGGGCAAGTCAGAGGAATAGAGGAAGAGTGTTCCAGAGTTTTGGAGTGTAGTGGCCTGAAAGTGCGGCCACAGATGGTGGAACGGAGGGCACGAGGGACAAGCAAGAGGCAGCGGGTAGTAAGACAAAAATAAAGCGCTCTGTTGTAACATCTATAATAATAATAATAATAATCCTCGCATTTGATATAGCGCTTTTCACGTCGGGAGGACGTCCCAAAGCGCTTCACAGAACACACTGTAAAGTGAATTGACTGTATATTTGTGGGCGAACGCGGCGGCCAATTGCGCACAGCAATGTCCCACAAACAGTCGTAGATTGAAAACGACCAATTTATTATTGTTTTGTTTTGGAGGATTATTATTAGGCTCTGTGTGAAGTAAGGAAACTTGCCCAAGGTTTGGCCCTCTGCCTGGAATTGAACTCAGGTCTCTCGCTTGCAAAGCGAGTGGTCTAACCACTGAGCTACAGGACTCCAAACTCCATCTAACACTTACAACGCATCCCAGTCCTGTACACACACTTGGCTTCCTGTGCCAAGGGGTCGGCTTCCTGCGTGTTGGCTCAGAGCGCGATCCACTGCAGCGACACTGTGCACGTGAGCAGCGCGCAGGAGGTGAGGTCAGCCACGATCTGACAAACTGAAAGTGCTGACCGGTGGCCATGTTTATAGCACAACCTGTTACAAACCCAGAGTCTTGAGGTTATGGACCTAAACCGCTACTCTCTAAGAGTAAAGCATAATAATAATAATCCTTTCATCTGATACAGCGCCTTATCACGTCTTCGAGACATCTCAAAGCGCTTCACAGGACACACTGTAAAGGAATTGGCCGCGTATTTTGTGGGCGAAACACGGCAGCCAATTGCGCACAGCAGCGTCCCCGCAAACAATCATGGATTGAGTGACCAAATTATTATTATTTCTTTTTGAAAGGATTATTACCCCTGAAAAAGCGATCCGCCAATCGGCTAACGATCGGGTTCCTACTTATTGCTGGTAAACAGAGTGTGTGTGGAGTAACGAAACTTGCCCAATGTTTCGCCCAGCCAAGGAATCAAACCCAGGTTCTCTCGCTCGCAGGACGAGCGCTCTAATCACTGAGCTACAGGACTCCACATAGTAGCATATAGTGATACTGCTATACTGGTATGTGGAGGACTTCAAATTAATACTACATTCTGTGACCATCTAGATATAAAACCGTGTTTAATGTGAAGTGCTGTGGTGGTACTCCTGCAGAGTAAGAGACGGTCGGATGTGATCACTGGGGAGAGTGATTGAGTGGTGTGTAAATCAGTGATGGAGCCCTGGGCAGGGCGTTCGAACTCATGGGCACCCCCCCACCCCTGCTGACGGGAGAGCGAGCCAGACCCCATCACTTGCTCCTGTGTTGAGCCACTCAGTCCCACTGAGATCCCATTAGCCCCACTCGGATCAGAGGTTATGCTGAGCTGGCTGTTCAGGTGGATGTTAAAGATCCCGCGGAGCTATTGGAAAAGAGAAGGGAGTTTCTGTCTCTCTCCCGGTGTTCTGGCCGACAATTCCACAGGTAAAATCGGCCATTCGCTCCATTGTTGTCTGTGGGCCACCGCTGTGTGCAATTGTGTTGTTGCATTTGCCCACAATACACAGTCACTACGCTTTACAGTATATACAGAAAATATCAGAAGGCGCTATATCAAATGCAAGGATTATTATTATTATTAATAATAACAAATAGCCAGGGACCAGGGAGGTAAAAAGAAGCTACTTCCCAACGGCCATCTGGTGAGGGCTCGGCTGTGGTGCCCCCTCCTGGTGAGACAGCATCAATACATGGTCAGCACGTGAGGGGCAAACACGCAGTGGCCCCACAAACAACTGCGTCGTCAGTGAATCGTTTTATCCGGGGGGGGGGGGATTGCTGGCCAGGACACCGGGAAACAGAGGGAGAAGCTCCTTGCTCTTTTCGAGGAGGTCCTTGGGAGTCCTTAACATCCACCTGAGCAGGAAGACGGGACCTGGGTTTAAACGTCTCATCCAAAGGACGGCACCTTCAACAGTGCAGCCCTCCCCCAGCACTGCGACCTGGACTGTAATTCCCAACGTGGCGAGACGAGAGAGAGGGAATGGCCGTCCAACTCAGGCTGTT